TGTGCGAGACGTTGTGTGTGGGATGTTGTGTGAGTGATGTTGTTGTGGGAGAGGTTGTCTGAGTGATGTTGTTGTGGGAGATGTTGTGTGAGAGATGTTGTAGTAGAGAGGAGGAAGGAGGAACGCGGAAGGCGGAGGAGGAGCGAGGAGGTGCAGCAAAAAAAACAAGAACCCCGCACAACAATGTGGGGAAAAACCTTTATTAAACTCATATCAAAAAGTCAAAAAGCCTCCAGATCGAAGGGTCTTCCCCCTACAAAAACCTTTATTAGAATAGTGACTCTTCAGTAGACTAACAACTGAAGCTTTCGAAAGGTGATGTCGCCGTGCCATGCGGTTTTGCGTGACCTCGGTGGAAAGTGTGCTTGCGTGAGTCCGTGCCATTGGGGGAAGGAAAGCCTGCTGGTGTAAACACAGCGTGTCATGGTGGATAGACAGGGTGGACAGAGGTGGGCAGCTACGGTACCTAATTTTTAAAATTATCCCGGCAAGAGACCCCAAACAGTGTGTGTGAGGTCTCTCAGCAGAAAGTCTTGAGATCTAGACGCATTGGGGTCCAGAGAGGTGATGGTGGTGATGAAGTGAAGGTAAGTGTGAGTGAGTGTGGGCGAGAGGGAGTGCGAGTGTGAGTGAGAGTGAGTGTGGGTGAGAGTGAGTGTGAGTGTGAGTGTAAGTGAGCGTGAGTGAGAGTGAAGGTGGGTGTTAGTGAGTGTTTGTGAGAGTGAGAGTGTGCGAGTGAGAGTGAGTGAATGAGAGTGAGTGTGAGTGTGAGCGTGAGTGAGTGTGGGTGAGGGTGAGTATGAGTGTGAGTGTATGTGTAAGTGAGCGTGAGTGAGAGTGAAGGTGAGTGTTAGTGAGTGTGGGTGAAAGTGAGAGTGCGAGAGTGGGTGTGAGTGAGAGTGAGAGTGAGAGTGCGTGAGTGAGAGTGAAGGTGGGTGCTAGTGAGTGTTTGTGAGAGTGTGCGAGTGAGAGTGGGAGAGTGAGTGTGGGTGAGTGCGGGTGTGAGAGTGAGTGTGGGTGAGAGTGGGTGTGAGTGTGAGTGAGAGTGAGTGTAAGTATGAGTGAGACTGAAGGTGGGTGTGAGTGCGAGTGTGGGTGAGTGTGAGAGTGAGTGTGGGAGAGTGAGGAGTGAGAGTGAGAATGAGAGTGATAGTGATAGTGAGAGTGTGAGTGTGAGCGTGAGTGAATGAGAGTGAGAGTGAGTGTGAGCGTGAGTGAGTGTGAGTGAGAGTGAAGGTGGGTGCGAGTGAGTGTGGGTGAGAGTGAGTGAGTGTGAGTGCGAGTGAGAGTGAGAGTGAGTGTGAGAGTGAGTGTGGGTGAAGGTGAGTGTGCGTGTGAGTGCGAGTGTGAGTAAGAGTCTGAGAGTGAGAGTGAGTGTGAGTGAGCGCGAGTGAGAGTGAAGGTGGGGCGGAGAGACAGAGGAAAGCACCAAGTGCTGTGCCTGCCACGAAATCTGCACGTCAAGGTCCACCAAGTGCTGCGCCTGCCACGAAATCTGTACCCGAGGTTCACCAAGTGCTGCGCCTGCCACGAAATCTGCACGTCGAGGGTCACAGAGTGCTGTGCCTGCCACGAAATCTGCCCTTCGAGGCTCACCAAATGCTGCACCTGCCACGAGCTCTGCACTTCGAGGTTCACCAAGCGCTGCGCCTGCCACGAAGTCTGCACTTTGAGGTTCACCAAGTGCTGCACCTGCCACGAAATCTGCACTTCGAGGTTCACCAAGTGCAGTGCCTGCCACGAAATCTGTACTTCGAGGTTCACCAAGTGCTGTGCCTGCCACGAAATCTGCAAGCGAGCCACATGTCCCAAAGTCACGATTCGCTGCACCTGTCACGCAATCTCAGCTTCTCGACGATCACCACCATGTCCAAGCTGCACCTGCCACGAAAACTGCATTTCGAAGTAAAGAAGCTCCGATCCCTTGCACCTGTCACGAAAAGTCGACTTTTGAGCACCAAATCACGAGGCGCCTGCCACGAAAAGTCACCACCATGTGAAAAATGCGCACGGCCCCACAACGAGAGCACAGTCGCTAGAAGCATCCACTGCGGCCACCCAGATTCTGCGAGCCTGCGCAGTCGAAGTGCACATGGACGATGTCGTGAGTCATGAATGTACTGTAAATAGCAACGAATTAGCCGTTCACGGCCGCGCGCTTCAACGATCTAAGCATCAGCTGCTTTTCACTTACCATAAGAACCCCTCAGTGTGCCCACACTGTTTGGGGAAAAAAACTTCCAAAATCGGCCATGTTGGTAGTTTAGTAGCGGCTTGAAAGGGCGGTAATTTAACGACGAATATAAACCGTATTTAGACGTATTTAGGGGGCCCCGACATGATTATGTTTTAATAGGGGTCCGTTTTTTAATAGGTACGCGGGCTGAATTCAACACGTGTTTAGAACTAGAAACTACTGAAGGTCCATAGCCATACCAGCTTGCCCCATCAACCTTGATTAATGACTAACTTGTTCTTTTCATGGTTGCATTTTGCGCGTGAACGGTCAGTGCTGACAAGTAAAGAGGGCCACACCAACCCTGTCACGCATGGTGTTCAATTTAGAATATATATATATATATGTAAACCTCCATTGCCAAGTTCACTGGACCATTGTCCATGGTAGCGCGATGTGTTTGGATTTATGCTGTGTTAGTCATGCCAATGTTCAAGACACAGGTCTTGATACGAGCCACTCCTACTTTGCATGCGGTCAGGAACCACATGCAAACCGCAACCCAAACTCGATAGACGCTGACGAGAGTTCACGAGTTCAGCTGTGACATCTGAGGCCTTTTCCAGTGTGTGCCATGCCCGGAGGGCCTGACATGCCCCTTTGGATCCACGGTGCAGAGCTTGCAGCAAGGAGAGGCGCCTTTAGGACCTCAATACGTGCCACAGCTGCTGGAAGGCTATTGGTCCGACTCCCAGGACCCGGTATCGATCTACAAATGTCCCTCGCCAGCGGTCCTCTGTCGGCTAGGTGGGAAGGCCGCCCTTCGAGCGGTTGGGGAGGTTTGAGAGATTGGATGAAGGCATTTGCTTCATTCCTGTGCATTCCGGTGGTGAAAACGACACTGCACTGATGGGGTGAAAACGACGCCTCGAGTTCTTTTGGGTGGCAGCTGGTGGGATTTCCTATTTCAGTTGCCGCCCAGGTGAGCCGAGGGCATCCTGTCCTGGTGGCAAGCCTGGAGATTGTGCCGGAGGACTTTCGGGCATCCCCTGTGCCAGATGCCCTGGTGGTCAGACTTGGGCCGGTAAAGAATGTGCAGAGTGCAGTGGTGTGACGTTTGTGCTATGGGCTATCAGGGCTGTGCTGAAAGAGATTTTGGGTGTTTTATAATGTTTTATTCATGTTGTCTCTTTCGTTTCCTGGTTGGCACGTTTCTGGTAGCTCCAAGTCCGGATGGATTCAGGTGCTTGCGCATGAGGGGAACAATCCAAAAGTGTGCTTCAATTCGCATGCTAGGCAATAGTGCCACCACTTTGCCTCGTGTGCTTGCTGAAATCCTATGACTTGGTGGATTCGAAGGCAGATGGGGAAGCGTCACCCCTCCAGGCACCCTGGCGCAAGATGATAGGATTTTTGCTTAGTTGCCTTGAGGCAGCAGTCAGATCTGGGCCTTGGGCTAACTTGGGCACCTGCCATTCGCTAACCTGCCACGTCTAGCCAACAAGCAAAAGAGCTGTGGGGTCGACATATCCATAGCAGGGGTTTCTGGGTCTTGACATTGCATATGTCAGCGTGACTGAACTTTCACCCCATGAATGTACGGGCGCTGCGAGCGCTACATAGTTCCATGAAACTGACCTTTCGGAAGTATTGTTTTAGAAATTTGATTTTGATGTACGTTTCCTCGTGTGTGTGTGTTTGTTGTTTGTGTGTGTGCTTCTGTTCTACTTCCCGCACTAGTCACTGATCCTCGACATGTATTTCAAAGCCTACTGCCGCACACGTAAGAAATTCGAAATAGTTGTTCTTTTCTTTAGTTGCTGCTATTTGTCCTTGATCAGTATGTTCCACTATCTAGTTTACTCCACTGCTGGTGTGCACAGTTTTATTTGATTTAGCACCTTCCATTGCTAAATTGATGTTGTTGTTTTTGCTGTTTTTTTGGTGTGATATTTTTTTTGTAATATGTCCTTTTGTGTTGCCGAACTGTATGTTTTATTCCTCACGGTGTTCATTATTGTTGTTCACAAGTTGTTATTATTCTCAGGAGGTGCCCCTCTTAGACACACAGTCACTTCTTTGCTTAGCTCCTTCTATGGTTAGCTTTTGCGAAACACAAAGGAAATACAATAGAAGGAGCTAGACTAGAGGCAACAGGATTGTGGCTTTCACTGCAGTGTGCATCAACACGTATTTCTATGATTTTCCATGTATTTCTCTTTCACTTTGGCTTCCCTTTTGCTTAAACAGTGGCCTTTCCCTTCGTGTATATGATAGGTTGTTGATTGTAGATGAACAGATTTCTTAGGCAAGAGCTTCAAGTTGTGATCCTTACAAAAAGAACACCTTTTGTATATGAAGGTGTTTGTTTTGCTTCGTGGAGGACACCGTGTCTTAACAAGGGTGAGGCTGGCAAAAGAATATTAGCCTTGTCCGACTATCTAGATTAACTAATAATGTAAAAACATATATAATGTTTGTTTGACCGTCCGGTGGTCAAACGTAACATCAGAAGCGCTAAGAAAAGTGTACTGCCACAGCCTCACTGACTCAGAACAGGAGGCCCTGGCAATGCACTGTTTCATAAGTTTTGGTAAATAATTCACTTCCACTTGCAAGTGCACTCCCAAAGGCCTCTACAAACTTGGCGCCCCAGTTCCCGGCCTCTTCGCGAAGAATGGACGTGCAAATCAAGTCTGGGGGGGGAAAGTCTTTTCACATTTGGTATTCACCTGTTTGAATATTTTGAGATTTCCTTGGGGATTAAAATAACTTTTCAATCTTTTTTGCAAGTTCGTTTGGAGGGGGAGGGGGGAGTGTGAAAGAAGCCTCAGGTTGGTGTGAAGGCACAGTGGCAAAAAGTTGTAATTTGGAAAAGTAAGCTAATATGCGACGTTTAGAGCGCCCCTTTATGTTATTATATAACATCATGATCTATGATGGATCTTTTTGTACGGTGGAAGTTCAGTAGCCCCTTGAGAGGTAGTCACAAGAGGTTTCTTTGAAGCGACTGTCACCAGGCATGTTTGATTGCGGCTGGCATTGCCTTCAACGTCATGCAGACCATAGCAGTGTTTGGCCTCATGTCGGTAACATGGAGCCAAAGCTTATCAAGTGCAAGCTCCGGTTTTCAGATCTTCCTCCTGGATTTGGACCAGCTTGGACTGAATTGCGTCTCCTTGGCCAAAGAAATCAACCTGTTTTGTCCGATGCTGGAGGGAGCCTGATTTTCAAATGTTCAGGCTGTTCTTTGCTGCTTTGGTCATTTTGCTCAAACTGGTGTATATTGAACCATAGTTTAACATATGCTCATTCATTCTCATGAACATCCTTCTTCCTCCGGGGCTTCCCCAAGCAAGATCCTTCGCCCATTCGTCCACCCATGGAAACATCTCTTTCTTGGTACAAGCACCGTCAAGCAGCGGTGGCGTACGAGGTCCTGGGATCCAACAACGTCACGCGTTTCCTGCTCCGTGTGGCCATCTTTCCGGTGGCCTCCTTGACCTTGCTGTCTCGCTGGGCCCTTGCCGTCAGGACGCTGCCATGCCCGCGCTTTCTACCGCAGCGCTGTAGAGTTCAAGCACCCTGGCATGTCCGGTGTGTTTTTTCTTTTTTTTCGGGCCGTGATGAGTTCCGGGCATCGCTTCCCCATGCTTTCCCCATGCCGAAGCCTTCCCAGCTGTTCAAGATCGTGTGGGCAACCCTTTCGTGAGCAGAACTGAACGCGCAAAGCTTTGGATCACTCAGAATCTGCCCCGCGGAGAAGTCCATCACCGGAGGAGGGTTATTAGTTTGTAGTTTGTTTCTTCGGGGAGGTGGTTTTCTTTGAGCATTCTGATCGCTACGGGCAGCCGATCAGGTCAAGAAGTGGGTGTTCTTCAAGACCATGAACTGTACCTCGGACGACTTGCCAAGATATCGATGAAGACCAGGTGGTTTGGACACAGTCCATGGCCTCGACTCTTCAAGAATTCTGAATCCCAAGAGTTTTGTGATGTTTTGTGAGCATGTTTTCTCATGACATGTCCGACTCCTACCTTACTTTTAACTTGTGGCGCGTCTTGTAGCTCTCTTTGCATATCCTATGGTCACATGTTTGATTGTACACCCTGGCTTCGCTCCACTTGGATCACTGAACTGTGCGGCTCGATGGGCCAAGTGAGCTGACCGGCTGACCGGACCACAAAGCAGCATTGTCGCAAAGACTGAGAAGGATAGAAGGTAGATGAACCGCCACTGAAAGTATCCATTGTTCTTGACATTGTTTTCATCTCCGTTGTTTTCGTTGTTTTTCGCGAAGACTGTGTGTTTGTAACCACCATTGATAGACAAAGAACCACGGTTGCATTAATTTATGGTTTGCTGTGCTGGTATCATTGCTACCCAATTCTTTCCGGCTCTTGCCAGCGAAGAAAGGCTTTACAAGTCGCTTGTGGCGCGTCGCTCTTGCAACCCTCACCGTTCAGAGGGAGAGTCAATGGGATGGTTTTCGTTGTTCGGTTTCGCCAAGTTATTTCTCCATGTGAGGCATCGGCAAATTCCTTCAAGTGGGATTTGCAACCTTCAGTGCTGTATCATTGCAGCCATTGATGTGCTATCACCACCCGAATGGCTTGCACAGCATCTTGAAGTATCCCAGTACATTCTGCGGTGACAGTGAGCACGTCATAATGATTGTCATCGGGATGGTGCTTTGGCTCCACTGTCAAGTGGGTTTTGGATTTGCTTAATGACAACAGGGCATCAGAGTGCTTTGATCGGAGGGTGTTTTAGTATGTTTTAGTCGCCTTTGAATCCATGTAGATCATGTAGAATTTGCTACATATGTGTACATATTTTTGGAGCTGGGAACATTCATATTGTATTGAGGTCCCTGAATTAATCCACATGTATTGCTGGCTGATGATGGCCCAGCCGGCAACCACTTTGGATCCAACGCTACCGTAGGACTCTCAAAAGTAGCATTCCGAGAAGAATCCATTGGGTTTCCGACCTCGTTTTTGTTGGAAACTTCTAACTTCTATGCCATGTGAAGAACACAATTCATTCTGACATGGATGGAACCAGGTTTTGATGGCCATTTTCGTGGTCGGCTTCTTTGCCGCTTGTAGCCTTGCCGCTTGGAAGATGCCCACCTGGAGCCTGAAGGAGGATCATCGCTGGGTGGCCAGGCCCAACATTTGGTGGGTCAGACCGTGATGGTGGGTGCATCGAATCGGGTTGAATCGGGGATGCTTTGGATTCCCGGTATTTGAGTGAACCGCCTTGAACTGCCCAAAGCCTGTCCCTCCAAGCAAGAAATTGAGCATGTGTGTGTGGTCCGAGACATGGAAAGCTCAGGTACAATCATTCACGTTCTTGACTGGCAAGTTCAGACTTGATACGTGGTGGTTTGGCATGCTCCTGCTGCTTGGGTGCTTGATTAAATCTTGTATTTTACACATCCTGTTCGGTACTTTTTGAAGACCGCGACCGATGTGCCGCCACTGAATTCCACCCTCCCTCCAACTCCAACAATCATGATTTGATGGACCATGCACCCTCCACAAAGGGTCAAGAAAGGAACCATCAATAAGGTAGAATCTAGAAATGGGGGGTTGTTCCCGCATAGTTTCCCGCATATTGGGTTTGTTTGATGGCCGGGTCAATAAGACATGCCCCCCACGGATCAACTTTTTGGTGTGACATTCGCAGGGCGCACGTGGTAGATTCAATCGTTGCATACCGCGGCCAAAGGGTTGGATCCTGTTTAATCCATGCAGGATCATGCAGGTCATGTTCGATCCTTGGCATGTCACGGATTTGGGCCTGTGGCTTCGATGTTGAGCAAACGCTTGTGCCTCTTTGGGTGAACCAGTCTCGCCCCACGCCAGGCTTTTACGAGGCTTTGCCCTCAGTATTACTGTGGTATTGGGCACAGATAGGCCACAAGTGCCGCATGGCCGCAGATAATTGCAGGGTCAACTGTCCTATGAAAAGCTTACCGGTCATAGAAATGGACATCACAGGACACCTGAAGCCGAGCAAGGTCACTGAAGAAAGAAGGAGCTTTGGTAGTTGTTCAATTTTAGTCGGTTGTGCACGAGAGAGATAAAGAGAGAGAGAGAGAGAGAGAAAAAAAAAGAACTTGAGGCATGTGCATTCAGTTCAGCATTTGTTGAGGCATTGTGTGTTTTGTTTGCGGACAATAACAAGGCTGTGAATGGTTGTGACATGTCTAGAGGAACAGTTTCTTTTGGGTCCATTTTCGATGAAATTTGTGTCCCTGTTTAGTGGTCATGGGACGGGTTCGTATGTGTCTTCAACATGTTTCAACAGCTCACCCATTCAACTGGCAGCTCAACCGCATCGACGGGCATCGATGTTTGCGTGAAGGTTCTTGACCACCACACATGCTAGAACTAAAAGCCTGCCAACTTGAGAGATGCCCATGTTTACCGCTGACCCGAACAAAGGGTTTGAGCGCGGATCGAAAGACAGAGAGAGAGAGAGAGGTGTGGGGCTCAGAGGCGTGGAGGGCCATTTGCACTGGTTTTAAGTTGAAAAAGCATCACCAAGCCCGAAAAGGCAGAGAAGACAGAGCGAGCCATTCAACCCTACCATTCACAGTGTAGCAGAAACGCCCAAAGAGCCCGGTTCGCATGGTCATATCACCGGAAGAATAATTCAAGGCAGATTGCACTGGCAAGTCTGGTGATGTTGCTATACCTATGCGCTTTGGTGCGGGTCTGGCCCTGGAAAGCTCGTGTGCTGAACGTCGCAGACACGGCCTTGAGCGACTTGGCATGCGTAGTACGTGGATTCAACACACCTTCGTGCCCAACACACGTTTCCCCCATGCGGAGCTCAGGTGCTGGAATGCTACTGTTGGTCCGGCAAGCCAGTGCAGCGACCCTGACGGGTGATCAGTTCAATGATGTCTTTTCGGCATTGATCCTCAGCGGTATAAAATAGACAGACATGCAAGATTTGACCATGTTTGCCCATTCTTCTCCTCCAAGATGTGAATTCTGGGTTGTCCTGCGCGCTCCGAGCAAAAGGGATGAAGTTTTTCCGCGTGCCTCATGAAAGATCGAAAACATAAGACTGTTTGCAGTAAGGATTGTGGGTCTAAGGATTTGTGTCACAATGCTATCACAAACAACTCAGGTCACGAAAGCTAGCATCAGCTAGCTGGAGTTGCTCTTGCTTTAGCAAGTCAAGGGCTCGCAGCCTCGAGAATCATGAATCACGTGAAAACTTCACGTGTAGGGGGCCCCCCCCCCCCGCGGGTTCAACTCCCCCCTGGGACGCTTCCGGTACGTGCTATAATGCTATGTTTAAGGGTTCAAGGCTTCAATGATGAGCATCACGGGAAGTCAGAAACCAGGCGTATCAGATACACGTGCCTTTGAGCTTCCTTCGGCATCTCAGTGCATATGGCTGACACTTCACTCGACAAAGATGCTCAAACAAACATACATAAACCAGGTGTATCTGATACGCCTGGTTTGTGACTTCCCGTGATTCAACTGTTGGATCATCATGTATATGTAATGAGGGACTGAAGAAAAGCAACCAGTCCTGATGCACCCCTGCTAGCTTTCGTCACCTACCCTCGGCCTCAAGTGAGACATTTGCTTACACAACTAAAATATACTAAACTCACATATAATTACACAAAATCGCGGGGATGGTGAAGCAGTCCGGCAGTCCCTATAGTCGTGTTGTTTACTGATGCTATCCGATCAGTTTACCAGAGCTGCGAATGATATTACAGTATCCGGTTCTGGACACATTTCATTGGGAGACCAATTAAACATCCCACGCGATGTTGCACAAGCTACTTGTGCAGTTTGTTCCTTTGTTTGTACGGGCTGTTGGATGTTGATGCTGTGTTTTGCTGTTTATATTATATATATATACCAGCGTGAGCTCGGCGTTGTTGTTTGTTGCTCGTGAACCAATATCTGCGCGCCTCAGCTCTGCAGTTGGAGCCCTGCACGTTTGTGGTCCTGGTCGCATTTCTCCTTTTTGATCCTGCTTGCAATCTAGGCAGAGGTGAAGACCATGACCAAGCACATCCGAGAAAATCTAGGAACCAAATGAATGAATAGTGCCAGCACTTCTTCAAGGAAGCTCCCTCCGCCCTCAGGCGGGGGGAGCTTCCTTGAAGAAGGGTGAGCTATGTTATCCTGCGTCAATTAAGTATGCGCCTACTTGATTAAGTAAGGAGGCAGGGCCACGGGCTAGAAAAAGGCATTGTATCGAACCGTACAGGGCATCTACCCACCGGAGACGGGCTGCTAAGTGGTAGAGGTTTCGTGTTGGCCGAGCTCAAGAAACCGCCTTCATCGGGGTCCCAAAGGACCACCGAAAGGAGGAGCTCCTGGCTGGACCAATCCCCTTTTCATTGACCAAGGATCCTGGTTCTGGTCTCCGGCTCCGCGGTTTTCATGCTATTGATGTGCATCTTTGCTTTGCTGTTCTCCTGGCGTTATGGAGATGGAGGACAGCTGACTTCTGAAGCTGGCCGAATGTAGGTATAGTATAGCGATCTGGGAAGTTGCTCTGGAAAGGATTTGAGAACTCAATCTGCATTGACTTATGGATCTGGGCACCAAGAGCATCCGATCTTCTGAGCACAAGGTGCATCAGGTATCAAGATGGTCATTCATCTGGCATCGAAATGAAGTTTCCCGACTGGAGTTTCTTGACTGGAGGGTACAGCCCAGATCAGTCAAGAAATCCCGGAGAACAAGAAAGAAGCGTCGCATCATCCTTTCTTGTTGGACATCCAATATGCTGCCAACTGTTGTGATGATGTTAGCAACCACCGAAACCATAATGACCCATGACTTGACCCATTTACTTAAGAGCAATCATGAACTACAAAATGAAAACACTCAGTCGGTGCAGTTTTGGGATATGTTCAGATGTGTTCAGGTGTGTTGAACGTTAAACGCGTAGACAGCGTGGCCTAGCAAAACGCTCCCCTGAAAAGCGATGCTCATGTGATGTTGGCGATCTTCAATTGGACACCTGTTGACGAATCGACCCCGGCCAGGAAGGAGTGTGCTCCATTTAGGGGCCGACATCAATGCCGAGACAATGTCAAAAGCACTGATGCTTGGTGGACCCGGCTTCTATCTGTGTGACACAGATGTCACAAACGAGTGTTTTGTCCGGAAGTTCGATTGCCCACCTGCACTCTCAGACTGTGTCCAGGAAAGATTGCGCAGCAGGGCTTTTGAAGATTGAATCCGCACAGCTGAAAGAGAAGCTGGGCAAGATCAACACCTATGACTTGGAAGCTCTTCAGGCCACCATCACACTGGTATCCCTCGATTCTTGGAGAGGAACAATTGGATAAGATCGAGTCATAGGCCTATGGGTTGAGACATGGGTCGCCCATAGGTCTACTGGTTCTCCAAACCAGAGTTTGCCCCCCGTTCCTTTAGTCCATTCCGTCTTATTTTGGGGAGCCTTCGAAAACAATCCCCGATATTTAGATGGAGGTCCATCTAGACCAACAAACTTGGGGAATGCGCCATTTACTCTCCATCCACTATACACAGACAATTGATCAGGCTCCACCTTCTTCGACTCTTCATCTATCTCCAACGGCGCTTGCATTACCTTGGGTCATGGGGCCACGAGTATGTGGGGCTGGATTCCACAAGGTCTTAAGAGTCTTATGTATTAAGTAGTGTTGAGTAATGTACGTTCCAAGGGATTCAGAAATCGCTTGGCCACCACTTGAAATGTCGGTGATTAAATTGGATATGTTGCTACCTTGCCGCTCTAGCAAACGCATCATTGTGCTAGACGTGCGCTAGGGCCGGTGCTTGTCGCTGCTGCAGATCGTGTGCCTACATGTGGAGCGTGAGTAATTACACAGTAGTTAACGGCTCGACCGAACTGTGCAGATGTCACCTGTTATAGAGACTACAAATTGCTACACTACAGACTTGCACGTCAGATATGCATGCATTTAGTTAGCAGTATTTAGAACAGTTTGACCCTATAGACGATCCAAAGGCAAGAACGCTACTATGTTTAGAAAGGGCCTTCTCACAAGACAGCCAACATTGTCCTGAGAACGGGTTGTTGTACGCATCCATCAATTGAAAGCCTTGTACATGCATACCCATGCGCACTGCATTCCATGTATGACGCAGCATATGATGTACACACAGAGGGCCACCCATGGTATTGTATTTGTATATATGTATATATATATATATATATGCATGTGTGTGTGTGCGCGTGTGCTTGATGTACATATATATATATATACAGTAAGTGTACACAGCTTTTTGGCGGGGTACGTGGCACATTGAAAACGTGGGTTTCGTTTGTTTTGAATGTCCGGTTCGCATTCGCAGGTTCCGGGAGACCTGTTTGAACAAGTCTTGTGACCAAGTTGCGACGTTTCAACATGAATCATTCATTTCAGATCATCTGGGCGCTTGACAGCCAGTCCAGCCAGCTGGTCTTCCACTTCCATGGTGATAGATTTCAGGGAGCGTAGTGGTATGGTAGTGGTTCTTCGCGACTCAGGAGCTGATCCAAAGCCCATGGCGCTTCAACTCTCGAGTTGCCTTACAAGCCATTCGAGGCACCGTGGCATGGCGGTCTCAGCTTTGAACACCGGTTCGCTTGCGTACCGTTGCGCAGGTGAAGCACCAAGCACTGATGGTTGCCCACAAGTTTGGCTCCCAGAAACCGGCCAGTGATGACACTGGGACCATCAGCTTCGTTCAAGGGAGCACCAACTTAGCAGCTTAAGCACCTGCTTCGCGAGGAGCAGCACGTGCCAGTACAGGCACCCCCTGTGCTGAGTGTGCTGCCTGAGCAGACACAGCCCCATTGTGTGGAGCACTGAGTCGGAGTAGTTCAGAGTTGAATTGGCGCTCAGACATGTTGATCTGGAGTAGCTTCAGCTCAGAGTTGGCAAAACCAATGCTGTCCACCAAAAGAGTCCTAAATGTGTAAATAACTACTCAGTATCAGCTTCGAATTGCTCAGGCATTGTCTTCAGGCTATCCGAAACATGATCCAAACATGCCGCGTAATGTTTAAAATCGTTTTACCCGCCAACTTTCAATCACCGGCCGAGTTTGTCCACTTTGCTGCGTCCTAACATGTCGACGGCATGACGACAGCATGTCGCGTGAGGTGCCAGAGTTCAGCAACCATGAGGAGAAGTTGGTCAGCTCTGACTCTCATAAGGCGCAGGTCAGCACACACGTGGCACATCGTTTGTCGACTTCCAAACTTCGGTTGGGGAGAGTGGTGGTGTGTGGACAGGAGCCTTCATTACTGGAGTAGATTTGTGAGAGCAATTTGCCACTTGTGGCTCGGGAGATTTGGCAATTTCATGCAATTTCCTTTAGTCATGGCCGCTGAAGTCAATTTTTGCAGTGCAACATGCGACAACGACGCCTGTTTGCATGCACAAAGTTCCTTCGTGTTTCCCATGAGCGGATGGTGACCCATCGCGCGAACGGTGAAATGTAAATGTTTACCACTTGTATTTCGTGAACCCCTGAGTGAAGGCTGTGCTGTAGAATCTGATGGCCAAGCCACAGACCATCACAACCCCAGGGGTGCTGTGCCAATCCTCGAGGATGCGCAGCGCGCGATTGGGCACTTGAGCTGTTGGAAGGAGTAGATCCATATCATTCCATATATATACATATCTACATAATTTTACTATACATATACATCATATACATATGTATAGATATATATAATAGATATTCAAAATGTGTTATTGTTTGTTATGGGACTCAGCCCAGACACTCCATGTCTCAATGTACGGAAGATTTTCCAGAAGTTCACCCCATAGTATTACCTTTGATGACCCATGTTCTCCCATGGTAATTCTTCCAGTCCCATGCAGGGAGCCGAATCTCGCCACTCCATACCTCAGTGGATCGGCCCAGCCTCGGTGGACTTTGGTTTGCTCTGACGGAATCTGACGATCTATTGAAATAGGGAGACCTCCCAGCCCACGAGCTTGGGAGTCTCCTTATTCAAATGCACACCCATCTAACCAAATCTTGGTGAAATTGACCGTGACATCCACTGGACCTGCGGCCTGCTGAAAGGGCTTGAAATGTTCGACCCCAAAAAGGTGCCAACTTGGCCAAAGCTAAGTGATACACTCTGTGATGAGCAACTGAGTGTTTGGGCTCTCGTTCCGTCCAACCCTCCTTCAGATGTGAGACGGTGGCCACTTGGATCAGTCAGACTGGCTTTGATATGGTTCGATTGTATTTACACACCTATTACATCAGTTGCTTGCTTTCAGCTGTCAAGGACTTTCAGACATGCTGGCATTGCACGTTGTGTTATTCAATCGAATGCTTCTTGTGCATGACAGTGCATGATTGCGTGTTTCATCGCAGCCATTTGGGCTTGCAAATGCAAGTTGGCAAATCCACCATGCGACACTTGGCGTTGGTGCTACTACTGTATTGTGGCAGAGACTTGTTCACGCCAAGCAGTGCTTTTCAGATGGCATTCCTGCGTTTGAGCGACTTGGTGATTACCTAATAGACTTCACAGTTGACTTTGCAGCATTGACCGCGGGTAAAGCATCAGATGTGTTCTGGCCCCCATGTTGGACATGATCGAGCAAGGGCAGCCCTTCGATATGTTCCATCGGAGGCTAATTGCTTGACACGTTAGTAGCCAACGATTCGCTCATGGCCAATGAATGAAACAAGAAGCATCCATGCCGTCGATGAACGAACCAAAAGAAGCACCCATGCCGCACACACACACACACATGTTGAGAGACAGTTGCGGGATGTGCGGCTTTCTGTCAGACCTGTGGGATCCCAAAAACAGTTTTTGCATGCTTTTGCCCAGTTGCTTCATTTGGTCCCCACGGTTCGCGGCCTGGTCTGGGGATGTTTGGGGTGTGTTTTTTGGCTCCAAGTCGTGCGGAGCTGAACCCACTGACTCCGATTTTCCCTAGGGATCCAGTCGTACCTTCTCAGGTACGGTGGGTTTCACCTCATACAGCTCCACCTGGCTTCATGAGCCTTTTGTTGAATGATTGGAGGATCATGGAGGATCTAGGTGTGGCGTTTTGCACCATGTGATGTGTGTCTCCAGTTCTTAGATGGCAGTGGGTCAAAACTCGGGCACCCTGGTTGACCCCGGGTCAAGCGAACAGATTTGTCTTTTAGGAATGTCAACCTCCCATGGTTTGCTGGGTTTTCGGTGCCATGACGAAACCAGCCACATGTTCTTCTTGTGTGTTCCTTTTGGACTCCTTGTTGCTGGCTTGTTGATACTGGTAGTAATGCCCGTGTTACTAGTAGCGATGCCCTTGTTAGTAGTAATGTTCCTTTTTGCGTCGGGGCCAAAAGGCGTCAGCATGGCGTTTTCATCGTTCAGCCTTGGTTTTGTTCCTCGCTCGTGTGAGGCAGGTGGCCTGGGGGAGCTGGACGATATTGCTCTACCAGTCCATTTTGCTGAAAGTTTGGCCCTGGAAGGCTTCAGTCCTCAACTTTGCGGATACCGCTTGCAGCCACTTGGGATGACGCCATATGATGCCGTATGGGTAAAAGTGGGGAAAATCATGGACTCGTGACCCAAGAAGTAAATACAATAGAGTCTTAGGGCCATTGGAGCCATTGGTTTCTAGCATCAACTTGTTTTGTCAATTGAGTAACTGAATTTTTGGAGTTAAGATAAGATGATACAAACGCAACAAGACAACATTAGCGAATCATCAGCAAGAAACTGAGAAAGACATACTATGCAATAAGGATGCAATAAGGGTATTTGGTGCACATGCTTCTTGACAACCACCTCCACTCCGTCAATATATAAATGCTGTGTGGGGGTGGATGGTTGAGGATTGTGTATACATATATTATATATATATACCCATTATAAATACAAATATATATATATATTGTATGCATTTGTATGCAACAGGCGCGAGGGATAGATCCAAATTTCGCATTCACGCCTCTATTTGATTCCAGAGATGGGCTCGTGCTTTCTGGAAGCCTTTGGGATCCACGCCTGTGCCGTTGCGCTAAGGCGTTTGCTTGCTCCTTTTGATCAACCACTCGGTGCTTTTTGTGACTTCACCTGAGACAAAGAGGGTTTCTGAGGAGTTTTCTGAGGAGTTCTCAGCAGTGATGCTTGCCCGCATTGTGAATGCGCGCGTGTGCCGTCTGATTCGAGTCCAACAACCCAGCAAAGACAAAGCGTTGCGGTTGAGTCTTGGTTCTGTGATGTTTCAGGTGAACACAGTTTGTTTGCACATTTTTTGCACGAAAAGCATCTCCCAGGAGCACCCGTTCTGTTCTATTTTCGGGGTCCTTGGAGTGCGTGAAGTGGAGTAAAGTCTGTACAGCAGCATCGCTCTTTGTGCCATCCATCCACGGCTTATCCATTCAGTGGAGTTCAGACGTTTTGTTCTGGATCCTGAGAACAGTCCTGCCGTTGCTTTTTTGGAACTCATTTGGCCAATGTTGGGTGCAGACAAATGTATGATTTCTTTTCATGCAGGTTGAAGGGGAGCAAACAACTCGGACTGAAGTCCAAAAGAAGACACAAACTAGAAGACAACACAGCAGGCAACTGAGCAGATTTCTTTTCACATGTTTTGTTTCCATGATGCCCCAAGGACCCAAAAAGCGCCTTATAAACCGTTGTTTTCCACAGTGTCCTCCTCTCCGGAACTCCCTGGGTCGCCGTCCTCTCCGGAGCTCGCCCAAGGATCACCGCGCTGCTCGCGGCCTTGCTGGCGTCCATGGGTCTTTGGTGCCTCTTGGCGCTCCTGCTGTCGCACCTGAACGCCCGCGGTGCCCGGACAGGCACCGCGCACGGAGCGAACCCGTGCAGCTGGGAGCGCTTGGGGCGTGGAGGCCGAAAGAAGTGTGAGAGACTGCCAGCTGCGAGGCGTCCATGGAGTCTCAAAGTACCACACAAGACGGGTGCAAGTACCGGTTTATGAAGGCCCCATGTCCCATTTTCGAAGGAGGGTGCAGGCTGGCGTAGTTTTTATCGCCACCTTTTGAGTCATGTGTGGCAGTAGGAGACACACGTGTGATTCGGGAATGACACATCGGGCGGTCTCGCAGAGGGACTGGGCTCCTTGGGCCTTCAGAACGCCCACTTCGAGTCTTCATGGGCCTTATTTGGAGTTCGTTGGAATCCAGCTTTATAGGGGGACTCGATCAGCACATGGACCACATGGGGTGGTTGATTTTTTGGACCCCCCTGATATCCCCTGATGAGGAGTTGACCATCCAATATCCATCCATTCTGATCAGGTGGTCGTTGAAGATCTGAGTCCGAAGTTGGTAGACCCGTTCTGCCAGGTCAGTGTTTACTCAACTTTGGCACCGGACCCGAGACCGCCATGGTTTCCCAAGCCTTGCGCCTTGGTTCCACAGCAGGTGCCGAATTGCCTGCATTTCCATCGCTCAGTTTCTGGAAGCCAAGGATAAAAAGGCCACATGTGCCACATGTATGGGGCAAGTCAGGCCCTCCAAGAGTCGGTTCAAAGACTCAATTTCAAAGACCAGGAGTTGGCTGCTGGTTGCAGAATGTTTCAGGTGTTGTCAACATGTTGTCCAAGCTAATCTGTGGGATGATCACCGATCACCCGCAGATTCAACCCACCTCACTCCAGTTGCAAACACCTAAGCGGAATGGTCCGAAAAACATCCGCTCTCATATCTCCACCCGGGGCTCTCAGGCATTCTCAGCCCCCCAGATACCCTCAGGCCCCCGGAGGCCTAAGCACTGAGCTCGCTGAGGAGGGATCCAAAGAACTCTTGGAGATTGAAGCTTTGCAACTTGAAGAGAGCCTCATGGAGTTGAACACTTGCGACTTGGGAGCTCTCATCCGGACCATCACTTTGATTTCTATGGCCTCTTGCCTGATGTCAAGGGGAAAGGACAGGAAACCGCTTTTCAGGTTGCAACGTGATGTGTTGTACTTCTTCATGGACACAAGAACAGCACCACCAAAGGAGTCACTTCCCACTACTCAAGCTTCAGGCTACTTCGCTCCTAGCATGCAGTATGACAAGCCCTCGAAAGTCAAGAGGACGTTCTTCCAATCATCATTTTTGCCAAAGTAAATTCTTCGACTTGAGGGAGAGGACCGAGTTAAATCAAGTTAGTATCAACAAAAGGGCCACGTCTCACGGCGAGGCGTCGTGCCCGATGACCAAGTAGCCTACAATGGGTAGAAAGTTAGTGACTCTCCCAAAGGGCGAAATCTCGCCTCCATCACCATCCAAGAATCAGGGGCATGGGAGGGGTTCCATGACCTCGGGAATTCCACATGAGTGGCCAAGAAAAAACACACGATGCGCATATGTAGTGGGTGATCCCAGCATTGACTCACATGAAAAATCACATTGAATTGTTACTGATTTACTGCAAATTATGACCCCCCCGCCCAGTACAAGCACGGCTGCCAGGTATGGGGGGACGCACCGGGGCATCCGGCAGGGCTTGGTGGTGGTCCACTTCGATGATTGCTGGATGGAGGGTATAGTCGGAAGCTATGCCTGCCTATATATAACTACCATACCTGCACATGAGTTTCGCGAACCATTACGATCCGGTTAGATCCAGGTCAGCCAGCCATAGATGAAAGGTAATTACTCTCCTGTGTCCCTACTTAGGTCAAGCACATGTATGCTGCAGACTCCAGTGAGTCTTTGCGAATTCTCCGACCTAGGAGGAGTGCATCCTCCTCCCCCCCAAAAAGAACTTCGGCTGCCGAGCATCTGCCGAAACCGCTGCCGTGTTCCCGGCCTTCTCACCCCCGTTCGAAGCATCGAATCGAGAAGAACCGATCTAGCTCAGCTCCACCGAGGAGGTTCTTCCGTGCTTTGAGCGCAACTTCAATTCCCGCGTGGCCTTCAACTCACTAAGTGGAAAATATTCGAGCCTCGCAAAACGGGTGGATTCGTGGCCAGACCCATGGCCGGGCGCAAGTCTCATGTATGGGGGTGTATGAGAATAGGCAGACCCATGGAACATCATGGAACCAATGGATTTTAGGTGATGTTCCTTTTACCGAAAACTCAATACACTCCCGAAAACTAACATGGACCCTGAAAATGGATCTTTGGAAGACTAGTTTCCTCCACAAACCAGTGGTTTTCAGGGTCCATGTTAGTTTTCCACAGTCTATCAATGATAGATCAATGATAGGTGTTTTTGTCACTGATCAAAGACCAAGTAGGCGTGAGCCCAGCACCGAACCCTTGATGCTCTCCAAACAGGAAAGTGCCTAGAGACTGCTTTCCTTTAAGAATTCTTTGCAGCACATGGCTGCTTCTACTTGGAAAGGACTACCCGAGACTCGATAGTGGAACCCTATAGCACAAATCTATACAAATCTTATATATGTACACACTGTATTATATTATACGGTTTCTATATATATATATATAAATCATGTTACATCTACTGTAAGTATAATCTACATAGTAGGGGTTGTTCGTTTAGTGACTTTGCTACCCGGATCGAGTGCGAGTGTGGGGTGTCACGTCCGAAGGATAGCTCGCATTCGCTTCACATCAAGGTGGTATGCTTCATCCCACGCACCAGGACAACTAAAGAATAAAACACACATAACAAAACACAATACATGCAAAAGCGCAAACACTATTTGAGACCAGGCTTCACTTAGCCCCTACATCAGGAAACCCTTTTTGACCCCTTATCAACGTTTTTGGGTTGACCGCGGCCTTTAACAGAGTGACCTGCGGCACACCTTAGGCCAGGTCCGATCAAACTCTTCTTCGGGGTCCATGCTACCCTCCTGCAGATTAAAATGGACTCTCAAAACCAGTTGGCTTGTAGAGGATGTCATGGTCTTCCACGGGGTGATTTTCAGTGCACATGTTAGTCCGCAGGTAAGTCGAACTGAGTGTCGAACTGGGCCCCAAGGATCCCCCCAAGTTCCACCGACCAGAGAGCAACGGAATGCGCTCGGAGCCACAAGGTTGACCCTGCAGACAATCATGAAAGCTGAGCAGACCAGGTCTTTTGTAGAAGGCCTTCCAGGCTGCAGATCCACTTCCATGACTGTAGTGCAGTTTAGATTGATTGGACCTATAGGAACTCCGGAAGCACCCAGTCCAACCAACTCCCCTCCCTCTCCCGGCGCCCGAGCTCACGAGGGAGCACGGAGCCGTCGGGGAGCATGAAGCAGCGGTGCTGCAGGCGCGATCGATGGAGCGTGCGATGGCGCGGGCGCGAGCGGGTCCGATCGAGGGTCGCGTTGTTCGCATAGAGTGCCAACCAGAGGTTCGATGGCACAAGTTGCCCTGAGGGCTTGGTGGTTTAGTGGAACCCCCATCTATAGAGGACATCTTGGGGTCTTTGCCATTCTACTCAGAAACCATTGTCTATGTTCACCTGGCTTAAGCACGAAGCGAGGTTTGGCCTACGATGATTGTAGATCGATGTGTTTTTCCCCTGAGGTCAGATACGGATGAGAGGACTTGTGAGGATTTTGCGAGCAAGACATAGCAAGACGACTTGTTTCTTGCAATGCTTTTTTTGTTTCTTTTAAGTCTCTCTCTCTCTCGCTCTGTGCATTTTTATATCAATAGTATTATAAATATAAATATATATATATATATATACGTGTGTGTATGTGCGTAATCACTATGGTTGCGTCCTTTGCATGCGAAGATCGGGTTCTTTCACCCAGATACGTTTGTTGAAATGCTTTGCCTGAAGTCCTTCCGGCCTGGTGTTCTGTGGCGATGCCGGCGACCAAAGGCTGCTTTGATCCCAGGTTCAAAGGGAGAATCGACTGTTTGATCCCACAATATGACTTTCGGGGTGAAAGCCATGGTTTCTTGCAAAGGTCCCTTAAACCAATCAATTGATTGAAACGCTTAAATCAACCGTCTCTTCAGGATGTGGGACGGCAGACAGCACCATGGTAACATTGGCCGAATCACTCACCTCAAGGCAGACTGTAGCTCACCGCAGCCTATGGCTAATCTCACGGAGAGACAGGGAGATGCGGAGATGAAAGAACTCCGTAAGTAAATCAATCATGCCCTAGAGGCCCTGGAGGTCCAGTCAAGTAAAACCTGGCGATGAAAGCTTCATTCATAGTGTTTTTGTATGACCAACTCCAGTCAAATGAGGTTCTGTATACTAGGTTCTTTTCCCACCCGACTTTTGCGCTCCAGGAGCAGAGGCAAATCCCAGCAGACCTTCAGGTCGGGTCGGTCGCGCAGTTGGTGGTTTCGGAGGGTTTTATTCTTAACCTGTACTTGGGCACTTGGGATGATTCAATCCACTGACTCATACTTTTCAAGCGAGTTGAAGCCACCAACCAGAAATGGCTTCAAACATTTGGCGGAACATGCTGGAACTACGACAACTCCGGCACGTCGCAAGTGAACCGGGTTTGATATACAGATCCTGAAAACCAGTCAAAAGTCTTTGGAATCGTTCAGGTTGGTTTAGACTGGTCAAGTTTAGAAGTACACTCCCCTGGGATCACCATGGAAGTGGATCACCACCCGTTTGTAGAGGACAGTTGTGATCCAAGAGGTGATTGTTCCACTTCCGTGAGATGTCCAGGTGATTTTCCGTGTTGAACATATGTTTACTGCACATGAACAGTTGTAGAATCGTCAGATATTCTCTTGCATACTGTACGCATCTCAGGGTACAGAGGTGTCGCGAGGTGCCACCAAAGCCACCAACTCTTGTGGTTTCAGGTAGCAGGTTGAGATCGTGACAATGGGTAAAGATGCTATATGTTCCATACTTTGTGTTTGGGACTGCTATGATTGCGCGGTTCTTTCGTGTTCGATCTTGAAACAACCTCAGCTGGTTGAAGAGGCCGTGCTTTGGAAGATGGTTCAGCTTTGGAAGATTTGATGTAAGGGACTGAAACATGGAAGCCGTCAATGTCTCATATTTCAATGGTGTAAGTAAACTGTCCAGCTATGCCAGTGTCGCTACACACATATAATTATAATATATATATATATTCCCTGTCGGCTCAAGGCCATTTTCAGCATCAAGGCCAGGACCTACCGGGTCCCTAGGCCATCCAGCAGGGCACGGACACCTTGAGTCTGCCGAGCTCTCGGGCCAGATCGCAGAGGGTGCCGTGATCCCAATGCGCCGGCACTATAAAGTGTGCGGCCACTGCAGGTGCAGTTGGATTTGGGAAGATAGGCTGTTGAGTCAGCCTAATCTCACATGCAATCAATGCGGAGAGGCATGGCAGAAAAAGCAGGTTCCGGACCTCAGACAGAACCGCAGAGTGACCTGGGCCTCATGGAATTTCCAGGGTGATGGGCATAGATGGCCAAGGAAGTCTTTCAAAGATGCCTTGTTGGAACCTCCACCGGGACTCCACGGTGGACAAAAGAGCCGCAAGGCAAAGAAGGCTAAAGATCCAGCCCTCCAGAAGGCCCTCAAAGATCACTGGGACCAGCTGCCGGATGCATTCAAAGAGAAATGCACTTCCTTAGGGGTGCAGGTGACAGCTCCACCTAGCACGCCTGACTTACCCACATTGATCAAAGAGCACCTCCAGAGCTTACCCACTGAGTTGAAGGAGGCGGTGGAGAAACTGGTTACACCAGATCCACCGGAACCACCTTTGGCATCCAAAGTCAAGCAAGCGGTGGGCACATTGAAGCAGCTAACAGAGAAGAAAGCAAGCCTGCAGACCAAGGCAGACGCAGTTAAAGCTCAATATACTCAGCTCTTGCAAGACCTCAAGGAACTGCAAGGCAAGATTGAGACGGCACAGAAAGAGTTGCAGAGCACAACGACTCAGTACAATCAGCAACTCGAAAAGCAAAAACAAGAAGATGCTGAAGACATGGCAGATGAACTTTCGCCTGAAGCATTAGTCACTGCAATGGCCAGTGTTGGGCTTCAGGCTACATCAGCCCAGGTGAAAGACCTGGCCGTGAAGCTTGTTGAAAGCGCGGCAAAAAGAAGGAAGTGTGGGTAACAGCAGGTTACTCCGACGGGCTGATGAAAGGGGTGACACAACCTTGCAACAAACATCCAGGGGCCATAGTGATGTGAGCATGCAAGGATGTGCTAGTTTTGGCTCAGGCGATGGAGGGTTTTCCTTTGACGGGCCTGAGATGGGGAGTTCAGCCGACCAGCGGCTGACCAGTCAGGAAGGGAGTGCGCCTTTTCCTGGCTTCACAGGAGGAGCTGGCGACATGGATGACATCATGGACTCCAGCAGTGACATAGACATGCAGGTTGAAAGAAATGCACCAAGGAGTGGTCCGATGTGGCCGCTTGACTACGTGGCCCAAAGTCTGCAATGCAGGCTTGGCAATCCAAACAACCGATGCTTCGCGAATGCAGCCTTCCGCTTATGGTCATGGGCGGGGGCTTTCATGGAAGGACCAAAACTGTGGAGCAAAACAACCACAGCAGTTCTGGAGGCACTCAAGGCTGATGAGGTGGTCCACCTGCCAAAGCTGCCAGGGCTGGAAGTTTTGTGGGAGAAATTTGATGACAACAAACAAGATGATGCATCTCATTTTCTGCAAGAATTGGTGGCGATTGCGGAAACGGATCATGTAATTCAGAGCTACCACCAGGTTGACTACAGACAGGAGGTACAGCAGCACAAAGCTTTCCCGGTCCATCTGCTGTTCCATGCCTCCCAAGGACCGGGGGACCTGGAACACCTGATAGCTGAATGGGCGAACACAGCAGAGGGCCAGGTGTTTGATGGGCAAGGATTGTGGGTGGCACAGATTGGGCGCTATGAACAAGTTCAGGGAACATGGACAAAGCACCACCGTGCGTTGCAAGTGCCCTCGATTTTCAATTTGCCGGTCACCTTGGATGGAGAAGAAACTAGAACGCTGCAATACTCCCTGATCGGTTTCCTGTGCCATTCAGGCACAGCACACCAGGAGGGGCATTTCTTTGCTGTTTTCATCTACAGAGGTTTGTACTGGCTTGTTGATGATGGTGCATACCCCAGACCTTTTCAACATTTGTCAGAGACGACCCAACAACAGATAGTGCAGGTTTGGGCCATTCCCTCAAGACGACTGCTACCGGCCCACATTGAGTGTGATGTGACACCAGGGCGTCAGCGACCCATGGTGCCGGAACAGGCTGCGAAGAGGCAGTGTACTGAGGGCATCCAGTTTGATTTTGCCAACATCACGCAACTTGGGAAAGCAGTGAGACAATGGATCATCACTCGCCCCAGGAAGCCTCTGTTCATGGTGGAAACTCACCTGGGTGCAGCGGATTTTGAGAAAACACAGCAATGGCTAGTCACACGTGGACTCAACATGCTAGGTGAACCAGCAGCTGAGACTGTCAAGGGAGGCACCAACGGGGGTTTCATGATGGTCTACCCACCGAATCAACATTTCCATTTTGTCCAGAAGCAGGTCATTGACGGATGTGGGTGGTATGGTGTTTCCTGGACTTTTGGCAATAGCGAATTGATTTTGGTGATGAGTTATTTCAAATGTGGCGAAGGCATGCAAGGCCCATGCAACAGCAGGTTGTGGGCTGGTTTACTGGCCTTTGTGACGAGTCTGCAACGGCCGGTGATCGTGTTCGGTGATTTCAACATTCCGCCGGAAGTTTTCATGACCACCACCATGGCACAGGTCATGCATGTACAAATTCTGGCAACAGGGCAGGAGACATGCAACACTGGCAATGAGCTGGATTGGGCATTTGTCTCCACACAGTTGATAGCAGACATGACGGTTCAGACGGATTGGATGGTGCCTTTCAAACCTCATGCCATGCTCCGCTTCCAACTGGCTGGTCATTTTGAGGACGTGGTAGTGCGACAACTCTCCAAATATGGGCCAGCGCCCAAACTCAGCAAGCCAGCAAAAGAATGGCACCACTTTGAAACCAGACAGGTCAAAGTCAACTGGCTGAACAAGGAGACGGACAACCTCACTTCCCAGACTGGCAGCCTGTATGACCGCATTGAAAGATTTGTGCTTCAACAGCTGGACAAACCCACTACTGGGAGAGGCACCACTCTCCAGTACGTTCATCGACCAATTGCTGACCCCAGCAAGCCGTGGATATGGAGGAAAGGCAGCTTGGCCTTTTGGGGTCAGATTGAAATCCGGCTGCAAAGGTTGCTGCATCAGTCTCAGCGTGAACCTCGGCATCAGACAGGCTTACAAAAGCTAGGCTGGCACATTGATGAGAATTGGCACCCGGATGCCCCGGTTACTTGTGAAGGCTACAAGATGTTGTTTGAAATGCTATGGCACCAGCATGGCGACGAGCACATTCATGTCCTTTTGAACTACACCACCAGACAAAGGGAACTGCATCAACAAGAGAGTTTTCAACAAGAGACCGAAGAATACAGACAATGGCTGACCCAGGCCACACAGAAGGGATGCCGCGGATTGTACCGCACACTCAAGAAGGACGAGCTGCCATACATGAGGCCTTTCCAAGACCAGCCACGGAGTGAGCGCATGGCAAAGAGAGTTCAACAGTGGGGGGACATCTGGCAAACCCAGGATCAACCGGTCCTCATTGCTAGCATGGAGCAGATGATCCAGAGAGGCCAAGCTGCTGCTCAGCAGCTCCCTCCGCTGACTGAGGCACAGATTTGGTATACCATCAAGCAGTTGGCTCTCAAGGCACCAGGTTTGGACGGCATTGGCTTTGACTTTCTCAAAGCTTTGCCTTTCAGTGCAATGGCAGATTTGAAAGAGCTCTTTCATCAGATCGAGGCAGCGGCCATGATACCCAGCCAATGGGGGACCTCGTTGATAGCTCTTCTGCCCAAGTCTCAAGTCATTGAGCGCCCCATTGCATTGGTTGCCACTCTCTACAGGCTATGGTGCCGTTTGAGAAACGGGCAGACCAAGCTGTGGGCCCAGCACATACAGGACGAATATCCTTGGGAAAGGGCCGTGCCAGGGACAGAATGTTTGCAGGTAGCTCTGAAGAGAGCCTTCATGACGGAGCATCATCAAGCACACCGAAGAACTGTTGTCTCTGTCCTTTTGGACCTATCCAATTTCTACGACCGCATCAATCTGCAAAAGCTGGCAAACCGCTGGCTGGATTCCTCGTATCCAGCCACCCATGCGGCCCTGGCCATGCAAGTGTATGCAGGCAGCAGGATCTTGGAAGCAGAAGGAGAAGCGTCCGAGCCGCTATGGGCAAGCCATGGCATTCTGGCAGGTGATCCGCAAGCACCTTTGGCAGCTAAGGTCTATTTGCAAAGAGCCCTCCGTGAGTTCAGCAGACGTTTTCCACAACTGCACACGGACTTATGGATTGATGACTTGAGTTTTGATGTTGTTGACAAGGATCCTTACAATGCTGCAAGAATCGCGATACAGGCATATGAATTTGTCAAAACAGAACTTGAGAAGGACAATTTGAAGGTCTCGGCCCAAAAGACAGGATTCATTGTGTCCAATGCCGCCGTCAAAAAGATCCTCCAAGAACAGCTTCCCAAGGGAGGCCCAAGAGTACATGATGTGATGCGTGATCTTGGAGTGGATTGCACGGCTGGCCGTTTGAGAAGGATTCAAACTATGCGAGCTAGACGCACCAAAGCGGCCAGAAAGACCCGCAAGCTGATGACATTGAAGATTCCTGAACGAGCCATCCGCCTCAAATTGTACAAGGGCAGCATAGTAGCTGGCATTAGCTGGGGCCATGATGCAATGGGTATTGCTCCCCAGGTTCGCCGGCGTTTTCGTGCAACAATGGGCCGGCAGATGGGTTTGCAAAAGACGGGGAACATTGACATCCTCTTTGATATGCAGAAACAGCACAGAGATCCTGACTATGGTGCCTTTGAGGATCAGGTGCGGCTGTACCGCCGGTTTTTCGGAAACTGGCCAGAGCACCTTGCCAGAGATCTGGAGAAAGCCTGGAATTTTCAGAAAGAAAAACTTCGGGCGGCAAAGCATCCATGGCAGCATGCCAAAGGTCCTGTGGCTGCATTGCAATGTTATTTGATGGAGCATGGGTGGCAATGCGACCGGTACGATGAGTGGACCAAGCCCGGACACAACGGGGAACCGGAATGCCGGTTGAATATGCATGCAGACTGGTTTTTTCTGAAGCAAGAGTTGGCCAGGGCAAAAAAGTGGGAAACTGTCATGAAAGTGAGCCAACGCACTTTCCTTCAGGAAGTGCAGCAGCCATTGGATTGGCTGCCTTGGAGAAGAATGAGCAGACAGTTGAGCAAACCCCAAAACACAGCGCTGCAAACGTGGCATCAAGGTGCCATTTTCACACGCAGTGCAGATGGGCAGGAGGGCAAACATTTGATGTGCCCTCATTGTCACACAGAGGCCACCCCGATTCACCTCCTCTGGTTGTGCCCACAGACGCAAAAGCAGTTTGCACCGCTGGATCAGCTTGACAAGCAAGAGATCGAGCACGGCATCAACCTTGAGTTTTGGGCCCAAGGCCTATTGCAGCTGCCCCAATATGAGATATCAACCGGCGGTGCGGCCGTCCAGACTTGGGGCTCATGGACGATCAATGATGAAGTTCGGCTTGGAGACCATGACATGGTGACCATTGGCATAGCCCCAACGAGCAATGACCCGCGACTCAAACATTTTGTTGTTGCCTTGGTTCACCATACTCATTTGAATGGTGACCTTTTTCGGAAAGGAGCTGTCACTACAGTGTTGCCCGGAAAACAGTCGATTGAAAGAGCCTGGTTCTACGGGCTAAGGCTCATAGCCCACTATCTGGATTTGTCCAAGAAGGTGGTGGTGCAGGTTCTTTCGGTTCGAGCATGGGAGGCCTGGGTGAAGGGTCGCCACGCGGAGACCTTTTTCGATCTCAACAACCTAGTGACTGCAGATCAAAGACAGCGAATACAACCTTTGAGTTTGACGCTCAAGCAGGTCAACGAGATGCCCAAAGGTGTGTACACGGTCCGAGCCAGGCTGAGAGACGCCACCAAGGCGGCAAAAGAAGTGGCCATGTCGCTCCGACCTCACCACCTAGAAGAAGAGCTGCACCTCACTGACCAGCGCTACCAGAAGATAGCACCGTTGGCTATCAAGCGCATCAGATACTTGCTGGAGACTAAGGATCATTTCCTTCACCAGACAAGAGAAGCAGGAAAGACCAGAAGGGAACAGACAAGAGCCAAGAAGACCCAACTTTTCCTTGACCTGGGCAATCACCATACCGAGTATGGCCACAGCTGGGAGAAAAAGGGCATTGGGCTGCAATGCACCAAATGCAAGGTGCGCATCACAAAGCATTGCACAGTTGAAGACCTTGAGAAGGCAAAAACCGAGACTTGTTCAGGTGCAGCAAAAGTCGATTTGGTTGGTGGGAAATCCCCTGAAGTTTCAACCAAAGAAGACCTCATCCATCAGATGGTGGCTGGCGAGCTCCCGCAGATGGAGAGTCACAAGTTTGAAGTCCAGAAGCACTACATTGTTTGCACGGCATGTAAGGGACGCATTTTGCGCAACTCTGCCCGTGAGAAACTTTTGGCCTTGGCCGAGGGCCCTTGTTGGAACAAGCCATGGCCGATTCCAAGTGGCTGGCTTGGCCACACCAGCCACAAAATGTGGCGCCAAGGGGGCAAAGTGTACTGCACGCAGTGCAAGGCCCATGCAACGAATCGAGCGGATTCGTACCAAGCCAGCAAAGGATTGCGACAAGCATGCGGCGAGCAGGCCACGCAAACCACGCTGCCGAGCTGTTTCAAGACCAAAAAGGTCTAGGGACCGGAGAGCTTAGGAAAAGAGACGAAGAAAAAAAATATATTCCCTGTCGGTGGCTCTATGTTTGCAGCTCCGAGGACTCATCGGCGGCAGCTGAGTTATATCGCGCCAGATCTCCGAGTGGTGATGATCCCATACGATGCGAGTCATATTGACTGCTGGAGATGCCACATGTCTACCCCACTTGTGGGAATCCACCTGCACCTGGTAGGAAGTAAGACTCAGTAAGTAGATAGCATAGCATAACAATCGTAGGTGCGTAATCCATGTGCAGCTGCCCTACATTGTCACATTGTTTCACTCCTTGGAGAGGGCTCACCGACCCCAATTTGGCATCATGACAGACAGAACATGTTTATACATACACCAGTGTGGCACATGGATATGCTGATATGCTGTATAAATCTAATAATAACAGATACTGACAGATACTATATATATATATATACCCTTGAGAGCTGAACCACCGTAATGTAGGTAAATATGCCATACGTCTCTTTTTCCCTCACAACTCAATCTATGGAGTGAGGTCTTCTGTGGAGACCACAGCAAGGGGCAAACGACCCAAAAACTACCAACTCCCCTTTTATTGTTCAACTGGCAAACGCTTATAGGCTTATAGACATGCTTAGACGCTATATGGCGAAATATTTCAACACAATGAAACAAGATCCAAAAGGTGCGTTGGCTGAGTTCCTTTCGTCTCCATCGCTTTCATTGATGTTCGTCCGGCCGCGCTCGGTCACCGGTTCGGCTCGGTTTCGCCCCCGTCGTTCGGACCGCGCTAACGTGTTCGGTCGGACCGGTCGGACCGGTCGGAAAAGACAGTGATGGCTTAAGGATGTTTGCTCAGTGATGAAGCTCAAGAGCAGGTGGAAAAGGGTTATATAACCTTTAAAGATGTTCCAACGTCCGGACTTGAGAGGCTTCAGAAACAACACAGAGCGTCCGTGTGGACCCGGCTCTGTGTGAAAAAACATCGCAGCGGCTGCGGTGCACCTTTTGGAGATCAATGGCGCGTATCCAAAACACTCCTGGAGTACCTCATTGACCCCTTTTCAACCACCCCAATGTATGCAAATTTGGCAGTCCCATGGAGTGTTTAGGACATGTACCCTCCACCATGAGTGCTCTATTGTGGTGCTGATGGTGAACAGCTCTTTGCAATCACATCCCTCTTACGATGTACGTGCTTGTTGCTTCTCCAGCAGCTTGGGTGCGGCAAGAAGTGTCGACCTTGGAACAGCAAAGGTCCCGACGGATGTCGCACAAGGGGGAAATCTTCAAGGGAATTCCCCTGGTTCGTCCAAACACATGCATCAATCAAGGCTATGTCTATGTTTTAGGACCCTCCCCACCGAATAAGAGCGGGTACGCTGCTCGCGGGCAAGTGAACCTCCGAAGCGCACCTGAGTTGGAAACGCACTTGGTGGTTCAGGGGCAGGGTCCAATTCTTATGCAGAACTCCCAGTGAAAATATGCGAAGTCTCCATGTGCCTGGCCGGTCTTCTTGCCATATTCTTTGAAACGACACAATTCACCGACAATCAACTGAGGTGAACACCCCGCAGGTGACAACCCCTCAATTAAAGTTAAGGTTAAATATTATATATTGTATATTCTGTTTATATATATATATTATCTACAGGATATGAAGTTATATATGATTATATATGCATAATCTATGCTACACTCAAAGCAAGAGTTCCAAGGCCGCTCCAATGCCTACCCCTTTAAAACCACTGGGTTGAACGGATGTAGCCACCCACCAGCACCACGAAAGAGTTTGTTTTTAATAAGAAGAGTTAAAAAGCAACACACCTCACCTCGGCCTCACAAAACTAATGCATGTTCCTTCTATGCAGCTGGAATTATTTGGTTGAATCTTGGGTGTCTATCATTTAGGGTTCTAACTCCAGCGAGCTCCTTGGAGACCGGACAATGGAGCTGGGCGCAATGGAGCTACTCCACAATGACTGAAGCATTGGCAGTATTGGTCAATAGAGTTTGTTGAGGTTGCTCGTCAGAGACCAGTAGAATAGGTCAACCTCACTTGACTCACTCCAACACTTGACTCACTTGTCAGACTTTACCTCAACTGGGGGTCGCGGATGGGCTCTTTTTAAGAGCCTCCTCTCTGAGAGAGCGAGATGCCGCCGGAGAAAAGGTGTTTGAAAGCCGAAGCCCTTGAGATTGGGAGAGAGATTCTGTGCTGGGCCAAGGTTTTTCATCTATGGTGGATTGAGAGTAGATGGTACAATCTCCAAAAGGTTGCTTGGTGCCAGTGCCATCTACTCTCCATCCTTTGTACTGCAGCTAGTACAGGTCTTTATGTTCTTCGGTTTCAGGACTTAGCCGCAAAGTTACGAACTGGAGGCGTTCACTGTCTCTCACGTGAATCCTCCACAGGACCCAGCCACGCTCGCAGCCGGACGTGCTTTGCTGGGGTCGTCCGGACGCCCGGAGGGCGCAGGAGCGCGAGGGGCTGCAAGGGAAGACCTGAAATGAAGTGGTTCAATTGTTTTTCTTAATTTGTGTATATTTCTTTATTGATTTCTTTATTTGTTTTGTTCTTTGTTGTTGTTGTTTTTGTTTTTTCTTTATTTCTTTATTTGGTTCTTTCTTTATTTCCTTCCTTCCTTCCTTCCTTCCTTCCCTCGTTCTTTCTGTCTGTTTGTCTGTCTGTCTGTCTGCTTGTCTTTCTTTCTGTCTGTCTGTCTGTCTGTCTTTTCTTTCTTTCTTTCTTTCTTTCTTTCTTTCTGTCTTTCTTTCTTTCTTTCTTTCTTTCTTTCTCTCTATGCATATATCTCTCTATACATATCTCTAATTGCCACCCTGGCATAGGAGAAGCAAAGTGATCAAAGTGGCTTCATGCAGGGGACAGGGTTCAAAAAGGCTTTTGGAGATTGAAGGAGGGCTGTAGATTGATGTAGAATTGGCTAAGAACAAATGTCGTACACACTGTATTGCGTGCAGATGTCCCGGAATAAAACTCACCAAGCACTCTTAGTTTCTTGGATGGGACCCAACATGTTCATTGACAAGAACCTGCTAACCTTGGGTGCCCGGAGACTCACCCTGACTAACCATCACTTTTTTAGACTCCTTTGCGGCCGTCTTAGCCGTCAGCTCCCAAGATGACCCGCCCGTGGCCAGCGCTCGCCGCGCTCCTTGTGACGGGCTCCTTGTCCACGCCATGCTTTCCTGACGCCGTGCCCGAAGGGGAGCTGCTCGGCAGCGGAGCCTGGAGGGGCCTGGCCTGGTGTGTGTTTTTCCCGGTCCGGTGTATCATGATGTCATTGTGTCAGGGCAGCTGTTCAAGGAGCTGTTGGTTTGGAATGATGTTTGGGAGAAGAACGAGGCAGACGAGTGAGTGGCAGTTTGTGCCTTGCGAGCTGCGGTGATGACTGTAGACATCATCGTCTACATGCCTTGAAATTCCACCAGAAGATATCAGAAGATTATATATTTATATAACATCCATTGCTGAAGACTGGACTTGGTGTTTAGTCAGTGTGGCAATGTTTTGGGGGCGGCGGAAGCTGGCTGCAATTTCACGGTTCTCCCATTTTGGAGCAGGAAGGACCCTTGAAAACAACTGACCAAAAAAGTGAACGAGTCAACGAGTCTGTTGCTACGAGTCGAGTTTAGATTTTTGTCTCAGCTGTAGGTTTACACCAGCGCTCGACCCTGTTGTAGAGCAACACTAGTAGAAATTCTTCCTGGCCATTCTGTAGGTCTAGGGTGTAAGCCCATTTTACTGGCAACAGATGTAACAGAAACAATCGGTAAACGATGATCACTATTTGTGAGACGTGCCTGGACCATCCTTAAACCGCCTCAACCATCATCCAGCGAAACCTGGTGGGATGATCTACCGACCCAATGTATATCTGCATTCTCGGCCCATCTCACCACCCTCTCAGGCGCAGAGAGTTGGTGAAGCAGGGTGACTGCGATCCGCGATTGGAGCGATGGGGGAAGCAGGAACACCACCTTAAATACATTTAAATACTAAAAGAACCATAAAGAACCTCTTTTCAGTGATGTTCAGAAAGTAGAGGCGACATGGTGAGGCGACATGGTGCAACGACGGAGGCGACATGGTGAACGACCAGTGCTGTGTCCTTGGGGCCCCATGTGTCTTTCTCCACGACCAGTTGCCTAGAGCGCCACCGAAGCCCCGTCCGGGTTCCAACCGCGTCTTTGAGCAAATCAGGTCTTCGCGGTTTGTGCGATTTGGATGACGATGATGACGGGACCTTCCCAGACAGGTCAGGAGAGACATAGGAACACACAGTAACGCACACACATAGGTTTCACCCCCAGTTGCAGGAGGAGATACTTTCCTTTAATTTGGTCGTGTCGGATCTTTACCGCGTTTGTTGTGTCGGAGTCCAACCACCTGTCGGACCGATGTCGTCCGAAATCTTTGCCCGTCAGTCGACCATCAGGTGAACACTACCCTGTGGGGCTCTTCATGATTGACTACGCCGCGCAACATGCCACGGCAGAACTGGTGTTTATTTTGCTTCAGGTCCGGTACCGCTTGGCCACCGTTCGAGCAGGTGACGTGCCCGTTCGGTGCGTGAAAGTGGATTCAGTGGATGCAGTTGTGCTACTTCACCTTGCTGCTTTCAGTCGACCCCACCCATGTCATACCTTCCATCCCATCCCATCATCTCTCACGGTTGCATATGGTTGCATCCTTCCATTCCGACCATCGTCCTGTTCAGTGTCACAGAAGTCAGAAGTCCATCTCATTCTCTATGAATATGACAATCGTGCTCAGCAAAAGAAGTCTGAAACTCATTGCCGCCTACCAACACCTATGCTCTTGTTACATTTTGTTACACATCAGGAGAAGATGGGGGCATATCATACCTCATTGCGCCCACCCACACCTTCAGCACATCAGGAGAAGATGGGCTACAAGGTCCAAAAGATGCTCGATGGCTTCTTTGGCTCCGACACCTTCTTCGCCCTGGCCGGCTGCCGATCCCCCACAAATCTCTCCGATCGTGGCTGCGGCGTCGACGGCGAGATGACCACTCGAGCGCATGTGGCCGTGGAGGGATGGACGGAAGGAGAACTACGCAGAGGGCGACGCGTACGGACGGCGCGCGGCGAGACCGAGCGTGACACGAGAAACATCCAGAAATCAAGCTGGATGGCCTGCCAGATCCTGCCAGGTGATTTTTAGGAAGGCTGAAGAAGAGACATGGGGCGAAGATGTTCATGTTCTGGCTGGGGGGACGAGCTCCTCTCTCAAGCACTGCGCGCGCGAAAAGAACGTGGGCACAGAGAGATCTAGGCAGTTTCAGGTGCCATTGTGAGGTGTCGGCCATTACTTCGCAAATCACCTGCTTTCGCTGCTTCGTGTTTCGCACCCACCGACCCGTCCAAGGTCCTGAAAAGGTTTGGCCGCACGGACCAAGCCTCGGAGGAAGAACCTCTCCTCACCCACCATATGTGGAAGATTCCCCTAGGGATCCAAGCACCTTCTCAGAAGAGACTTGGACCCTCCAAACCTACAACAGTCGAACACATCACCTTCTGACAAAGTACGACTGGATCCCTAGGGTTCTTGGAGTTTGCCATTTGGTTCGTCAGGATATCTTCCAGTTTGGGAGCAACTTCAGCAAGACTACCCGTCCTCCGCCCCAAGGCTGGGTCGCGGGGTTGTCTTTCGCCCAGGGACCTCAGGACTGAGGGTCGAGGGTCAGATCGATATGTACTTGTTTATACTTTTTTCATGTTGATATCGTTTTTCAGTCTGGTGTCTCCAAAGTATGTCGCCAGTCTCCCTCTTCTGGGTGTGTCAAGAAGTGGTCAAAGACAGCAACATACAGCAACAAATCCAAGAGACTGGGGCGGTCGCTGGGTGCATGGTGCATGTGAATGAATTTTGTTATGAACAAGTTTAACGAGTACTTTGTTTCATAGGGACTGGAATTGTGATAAGCACAGTTGACAGAATCTTCCACCGTTTCGCCGGGACCGCGTTTGAGCAAGCTGTCCTTGGAAGTTCGAGGCACATCTCTGCCAACAACTTGGCGAAATCATTGGTTGCCTCAGTATCCAGCTTCCGTTTTCGCAAAAAAACAACATTATATATATATATTTAGATACTTATTTAGATGTAAACATAGTCTGGTGGCGGCTAAAGTTCTGTGTCAGTTACACACTTTGTCCAGATACGACAGAGCAGGTGTGGTAAGGCAGCTGTGGAACCTGAAAGTCCATTTGCTTAAGCCTGGCAATCTATGGATTAGTTCAATGGATCATTGGCCGTGAATCACGAAAACTGTGCGTTTCCTGTAGATGTTCCCTGAAGGGAAAAACCACCAACATTGGGAACAGTTTGCTGCAGTGGTGGTGTGTTTCTAGTTCTGCACTGATTGCACTTGGCATTTTCAAAAAAGTAACGAAAGGACCACAAATCATTTGAGAGACTATCATTCGAAGCATTGTGTCAAAAATTGTGTCAAGATTACTTCATGCAACATGAATATATTGTCCTTTTCTGGATCAGATCGGAGTACTTTCGCTTCTTTTCGTCCGCAGTTGGTGGTTTTTGCGCCAGCGCGCCAGGAACTTGGGAAATATGGGCTACCAGGGCGAAAGTTCTTCATTTGTCGCCCGGAGCGTCCAGGAGATACGTTGTCAAATCGATCATCTCGAGTCCTTCCGGAAAGAGGAAAGTTCCGCTGTTTGTAAAGGAAGGCTGTTTTCCAAAACCCTACGCCATGCGATGTGCTTCGTTCCATGTGATGTGTTTGTCAGAGTGTGCATGCTAGAGGATGGGCCAGGATTCCCCGGGGGAGGTTCTTCGAAGTTGGTGGGTCCGCAAGTGCTACACTACACTTTACTCTTCGTGAAACAATCATTCCCTAGGGATCCAAGTACCCTCTCAGAAGGTACTTGGACCCTCCAAACCTACATAACAGTGTCTCCAATCACCGTACCTGAGAAGGTACTTGGATCCCTAGGGATTGAAGTCGGAACCGTGGTCAATCCAAGGGGACGTGCCATCCGTCCACTTCCATGATGATTCCAGGGGGAGCAGATCGAATTCCTTTTGACTTGTGATTGACCAATCCGGATGCCCCTGCGGAAGGATAGGAACATAGACCACATCTCAGTTCAACTGTAATATGCTGTAACCATGCTCCATCCATTTGAGTTTCCTTTGCGCCTGGCCATTGGTGTGAAAGCTCTGAACTTCAGCAATTCACACTCTAGAAGTCCAACTATCTTGTGAAGTAACTAAAATGCCCTTTCAGTGATTCATGCCCTCTATATGAAGACAATTCGTGTCATATTTTTTGACTCCCAAGGCACATGTTTCAACATCTTTGAACATCACCCGTTGATGAGAGGATCAGCTTTGACTTGCATGTTTTTAAGCGGTTCGCCGATGGAGCTCCAGTGAGTGAACCTCCAGGAGAGGGCCTTCAATGCTGAGGGCATCTCTTTGGATTTCTACCGAGCCGCTGGGCATCAATCTTGTCGTCCAGTCGAATAGGATCGAATCTAGGAAGCCAGTTTCATTTCTGGGCGCGGCGTGGGCGTGCACATGTGTTGATATACACTCCCTGGAACTAACATGGAAGTGGAGCATGGCCCCTTAAGGAAGACCATTTTCCACTACAAACAGGTGGTTTTCCACTTCCATGTTAGTTTTCGGGAGTGCACGAAGCATCGTCGAATCGCGATATACCTCGTGGAGCCTTAAGTTCACCGCTCCGTCGCAATGGCCATGTAGTCATCCAGGGGTCGAGGACCATCCGTTGCTCGGATGTCCTGCTGTCGGCCCCCAGGCAACGACCATTCTCAGGAAGTACGGGCGTACTCACCTCCGTTCGACCATCCGGTTTGGATGCTCCTGGACCCTGGACGGGAGTGTCATCAAGGGTGATCCAGCACTCCCGAAAACACCAGTTCCCAGACACTGCATGGATGGAAGAGGATGCCTCCATGGGGATGGTTTCAGGGGTCAATGTAGTTCAATATGCCACTTCTTCGCTATGGATGTGTTTATACCTCGTCTTGATCCAAGGACAAGACTGGCCCCAAGTTTTTGGCGTTTTTGCGGGACGAAGGGCTCCATAGTTCAAAGGTAGAGCAATTCTCCCTGCACCTCCCTACATCTTAAGTTAAATTGGGTCTTTTTGCACGGGAGGTAGCTTAAGATTATCCACATGCGGCATGCGCGCCTGACTGCTCCCCTGCTCTTCCAGGATTATAATGTGTCCTGGACAGATTCGGCCAAGTATTTCTCGAGAGCCTGAGCTTTTCAAGTCTGAGACTTTGATTTTTTGTTGCTTTCAGAAGTTCGATGGCACAACCACCATTTACATCCATTTACTCTGAAGCCAGTTTGTTTTGATGATTCTCTCTTCCCTTGTTCAACCCCCACTTGGACCCCATGTTTTCATCGTTGGACATTCATCCGTCGTCTTCATCGTTCAGGACTGAATCGACGTCTCGACGAAGCCTCGTCACTGAGGACTTCAGGAGCTCAACCGATCCAAATTGCTTCCTTGCGAACAGACCTCCTTGATGAATGTTGAGTTGATGAAGGTCTATCGGGACCTCACCGGTGATCACGAAGGTGTCACACCTCTAGGCGCGGACTCCGAACAAGCTCGAACTCCGGACAACAACAACGACAACAAACAAACAAACAAACAAACAAGCAAGCAGGCAAACAAACAAACAAACAACAAAAAAACACAAGCTCATAAGGAGTTTTCGTGATATTTGAAGGATATTCCATCACTCCCGAATGATCTCCATTCATTCATGCAAATTCAGAATATTTATGGAATCTGAGGTTGAACAGTTGCAAAGCTTGATATTGAAGTGCCAAGACAAAAACGTATCCGACAGATCAGTGACATACAGTATCTCTCATGGGCTGAAACAGCAGCTGTTTTTGTTACAGAAAAATCTACGCCGCCGTGCTTTACTAAAATTACCCCCCCCAGAATCTTAATCAACCTGAACAACAGTAAACATAACAAAAGCTTGCAGTAAAAACGCCCAATCAGCGATTTCTCCCTTCCTGGCATCGCAGGTCCGTCGGCGACACGATGTTTCATCACGTACCGGACCATACCTAGATCTTCAGTCCGGACTCCGGCATTTTCCTAGATTTGGTCCGGCACTTTTCATCCCAAAGGAGGACCCAGATATGTAGTACAGTAGCACATCCCTCACAGCTACACCGATGTGCTGATTTGGTGTCCCTGAGGCAACGGGCAGGTGATCGGCCGATGCTTTGATGGCTACTTCTGGTACGCGCCCGTGTGCCGCACACAGGGCTCTTCCAAGTGTATCCCTTTCATCACCGGGGGCGCTGGCTGGGCCTTTCAGGAAACCTTTCAGAAGGCGACAGAGGGGAGCTGGGGGGAGCTGAGAGGAGCTATGAGGACGTGCGCTAGTGAAGAAATGGACGGAGCCCGAGCTTTTAGGAGGAAGAAAGCTCAAGATCAAACTAGAGTAACTGTATATTTTGAACACATCACAGGTGGGAGTGAATAGATAGTGCACGACTTGCGACCTATATGGTGTTCTTCAACATTCTTCAGCCCCAAAAAGCAACCCAAAAAGACATGTCAGTCTTCGCCCGTTGGCCGCGTTGCCGGATTCAGACCCGCAGGCGACCTTCCTTGGAATGCCATTGGCCTGGGCGGTTGGAAGCAACTGGGAAAGCTACAGCACACTGCCGATGGAGTTGACCACAATTTTCTATTGGTGGAAGCCAGACCCAACATTTCTCAGGCAGAAACTTTGCACTCAAATCAAGCTGAGTTGCGAATGGCTCTGGATTTTTCGTTATTTGGTTGTGGGGGGGCAGGTTCAATTTGGTCAAGTTTCGGAGTATGCTGTAGGTTTGGAAGGTTGCTCGATCATCATTAGAATGCTGCTCCATGCAACCATCTCCAGGATTATGTGCGTCAACACACCCCACATGTCTCCCGGACACCTTTGATATTTCCTTCGCACGCATTTGCCACACATCACCATACTTCATGGCATTCTCTAGGACGCTCTGGATGACAAAAGTTTGCTACACTCCGAGTCACTAACATGGACATGTAAAGCAACCTGTTTGTAGAAGAGAATGGTGATCCAAGGGACCATGCCATCCTCTTCCATGAGTGTTTCAGGGTGTGTATTGTATTTGCGGATTGTTTGACAAGAGTTCCAAGATATCCAATGTTCACCGATCAATGTCCAGTCATAGCCTCGTCACATGTCTCCACATGACAAGACCTCACGCAGCCTGGACCCCACCCCACCCCTGTCAGGCTGGATGCAAAGGCCTTGATTTTCCCACCATATGAGTCTCGGCCAGGTTAGGGTTCAAAACTCTGAAGAGTCGAAGAAAAACATGTTACATGGGGAAGAAAATAGTCGCGCACACACCAGGTGGAACAAGTCTATAGCAATGTAGAGTAGGGCCAGAACTGGCCAGAACATCCCAGAACGAGGCTTGGAAGTTTTGGAGTGTCGTAATGATTGTTCCGCCTCGGCACAGCCCACGATGGACAGCCTCCGATGCGCAAAACCTGTCGGTAAAAGACGAGTGGCCGCAAAGCTGAAGTGGTTGATAGTCCTCCAGTTCGTTGGTAGCAGTTCTTTAAGTGCTTAGATACTACTGTTGCTACGTATGTTGCAGGACCATGGCAGATGTTCCGTTGCTTCGGTCCTACCAGCCAACGCAGGTGCAAAAGGATCAGGCCATGCATTCGGTTGTGTACCATGCAGGTGGTTTCTCACTCAATGCAGGTCATACATCAGCAGTATTTCCTGAGGAAGTCCATGAACCCACTGGAGGTAGTTCCTGGAAGTGGAAAAGGGCAGGTTCTTTCATTCGGAAGATGGACATCCAAGGGGCCGTGCCATCCACTTCGACTACTTCAGTGTAACCCAAAGGGTTCCATGCAGGTCCTGACCAATTCGTCAAGCCAGGATCGTTTGCAGTGGGAGAAAGGCATTGCAAGATCTGCTGCCACCGAAATCTCCATTGACAAATACATCAGCCAGGAGCATGGAGCCCTCGGAGCCCTCTTACGGGTCGTGGGGAGACATAGAAATGGGCCGAGTCCCGCAAAGAAGGTGCTGGGCTGCGTCGGGGACGAAGCTTCTGCGTCAGGGAGCAACCACATGAAGTTGGCGGTGTACCGGTATGCATGGGACGATGATGTTTGGACGTTGGGGATCCCAACTGTCGGAGCCTCGTGGGATTTTGCCAGACACTCCATGGGACTGGAATATTTACATAGATTGTAGTGGTTTGAGGGGTCAATGCAGGAAATTATTCCATTGATTGTTTGGGTTTGTTCAAATACATGTGTGTGCCGTTCTTTATCGATCTTGTCAATGCGCAATCCCGTACTGGATGTTTCAGGGTTCTAGTGACTCTATAGTGTATCAAGCGCAAACAACGCGCGTGTTGAAGACGGACAGCAGCTCGCGGAAGGACTTAAGCACCCTGGCTCCGGACATTGAAGAATTTATGAAGGGCTTTATGGTGGACATCAAGGATGTGGACGAGATCATGTGCTTGCGATCAGCAGCATGTTTTCCTTTTGCCCTTCTTGTGATAGACATTGGCAATGGACGATAGCCCGCTAGTGGACAATGGCTTTGAGGTCGATTCTCCATGTCCATGCTACTAATGACGAAATAGAGTACCTACACCTACATAGTCTAGCCCAGCCCGTTTTACCATTTGGACGGTATAGGGTGATTTGTCACATTGATCATTCCTGAGCGTTGCCCAATGTTTCGGATCGGGTGGTCTACTGCGTGTTTGCACAGCTGCTTGCCTAGCTGCCAGAGGGAATTCCGTGTAGGTGGCATTGGGATCCGGAAGTTTCCTCGAGTACACCTCAACATGTACCGGGTACCGAGTCCTGAGCATTTGAGACTGCCCCAGATGCCCTAGGTTAGAGAAGCTTGAGTCTGGAAAGCCATATTCCGATGTTGCATGTCGCTGGCTGCATACCAACACTGAAAGGCGTGGACCTCAACCGGGCCAATTCCAGCTGAAAAGATATCATCGTCATCGTCATCATTCTTAGTATACTCCCTTAGTCTCTTTGGAGATCCTTTTGACAACAATGTGCAGACATGGAGAGACAAGCACTCAGGCATACTGACTATGTCATATACCGATAATCAGCTTATATATATATATAATATATAGACTATAGAGAGACAGAGAGCTTTGTCACTCGCACCTGTGTGGCATCTCCTTTGTTTCCCGATCCGATCCGTTAGGTGGCGGAAGTGGCTGCCGGACAAGACCAAATGCTTTGCACGATATGGGCTCTACAATGAGAAAGTTGACACTTGGCCGTCAATGACACCAATCCTGAATTGGAGGTTGCTGAATTCGATGTTTTTCGCCAGATAGCTATGGGGTTCTTACTTCAAATAGCAATGAGCTGGCTGTGCGCGCTTTTGAGACAGGGTGCCGGTGCCGGGTGCTGGTGCTGGGTGCTGTGAGCTGGCTGTCCGTGGTGGAGACAGAGGGTGCTGGCAGTGCGCGTGGTGGAGACAGGGTGCCGGTGCCGGGTGCTGATGCTGGGTGCTGTGAACTGGCTGTGCGCGTGGTGGAGACAGGGTGCCGGGTGCTGGTGCTAGGGTGGTTACTGGGTGCCGAGTGCTGGGTGCCGGTGCTGGGTGCTGTGAGCTGGCTGTGCGCGTGGTGGAGAGGGTGCCGGGTGCTGGGTGCTTACTGGGTGCCGAGTGCTGGGTGCTGGTGCTGGCTTTGCACGTGGCGGACACAGGGTTCCGGTGCCGGGTTGCTGGTGCTCGTTGTGTGCGTGGTGGAGATTGGGTGCCGGTGCCGGGTGCTGGTGCTGGCTGTGCGCGTAGTGGAGACACGCCACGTTGTACTGAAACCTTGTTTCCAGTGTAAAATGTAAAAAAGGTTCCTGTGTGTGCTTTGGAGCTGCCAACGTAGGGTGCAGTTCAGAAAAAACTGTTGCATGCTTTTATATGCTTTTGCTATTTGGGTTCTATGCTGGTGCAATTGTGTTTTTTCTTGCTCGGTGTGGTGGTTTGGGCCCAACAGGCCGACCTTGCCAAGATCTAGTTGTCAAACATGTCAGACTTAGCACCTTGGTCAGTCCCGGGAGCTCTACCACAGGCCGGTCCCAAACCTTTTATCGCTCAAGCTGATTGATCCCGTCCGAAGGAAAGAAATTGAGAACCCTTTATTGTGAGGTGATGTTGGTCCGGCCATTTGAGTCCAGCTCCGCTGCTCCTCTCACGTGTTTCGGAGAAACATCTTCTTTGTTTTGCATTGTCCAAGGGCTTAGTTCATTTCATGTGCCCAGAAGGGAATCACGGATCATAACACAGAGCGCTTGCATTATAAACTTGCCACCGGTCAAAAGGCTAGCCTCCCAAAAGGTTGACGCGGTGTAGAACTACCAGGTTACCATGGGGTTGTTTTTTGTGAAAAAAAAGTGCTTTCGAGGCGAAGTTTGTGGAGAGCCGCACAAATCCGCAAGACCTCACTTGTCAGATTTGCCCTCCGGGTTCCTTCTCGGAACAGATGAAGGACCAGCGGGCGGAGGGACAGGCGGGAAGGTTAGATTTCGGAGATGCTCAGAGGCTGAGATTGAGGTCAGGTTTAGACTTGGGCCCTACCCCGAGTACAACTGATTTGTGATCCAGGATCTCGTGGAGAGCTGAGCAGGCAAGCACACACCAATGATCCGAATTGTTCAAAGATGCATATTATATCATATTATATAATATGGGTAGAGTGTTATTCTTCTTAGCTGGCAGCTCAGTTTTTATCACATGTGACGTTCTTTACATGCCGGTCTATCAATGCTTTCTTATGGAGGCTGGATAGGCTCTCACATATCATTTTGGGATGCTAGAGCTTCAGGACTTTGCAGGAAGATGCAGGATGCATGTCCTGTGCAGATGGTGAGAAAGGAACGGCCATCTTCGGCGAACGCCCCAGGATGCGAACGGCACGACCTTTATTTGCCGAGAATGCACTGCAGGGACCTTCCAGGCTTTGATCACTCAGTGGCCCATGGTTTGGTTGGTTGTAGTGGGTGTGAGAATGCCCGTGGACTGCAGTATGGTTCACCTTTCTATCCTTAAGAAGGGGGACAGAGAGAGACAGAGAGAGATTGGGCGTTCGCATGTTTTCACGAGTTGGACATGTGCTTACCGAAGCGAGGAACAAACGCCCGAAACTGCTGGCAGGTCTCTGGGGCATCCACTGAGTGCGATCCATGTCCTAAAGGGGAGTACCAGGACGAGACTGGCAGCAACTCTTGCAAAAGGTCTCTTTGGACTTGCAAGAGTAAGCACCTTTTTGGGGCTGTTCAAGTTGAAAAGTTCTGAGTTCAGTTCAAAACTTGTTTATCTCCAGGTGTTGCATGATATCTCAAGCATTATCAAGTATCGGTACACCATGGCCCATGGAGGCAAGGCAAATGGCCCATGGAACCGAAATCTCCCATGTTCCGCATGCTTTGTTTATGGGTCTTTGGTCGTGCTAGTGCATACTATGTTCTGAGTTCTTCACTTAGCTCGGCTGATTACCATTAGCAAGCCAAAGTAACAGGTGTATGTAAGTTAGATTAAATTATATAGTATATCATATGGCTTTGATGCTTTATAACTTGTGTCCCGCGTTCCATGGCTTTGTCGGGTGGACGTGTCTCCTACATCCTGTTTCAAATTGATTTGGCGCCTGCCATGGTCGTTGAGATCAGCGGCCGATCATGTTCCATTCCTCCCAAGGTGTGGCTTCGGCAAGTATCAAGACGCTCGTGGAGCAAGAAATTGCACCCAATGCCCCGCAGGCACCACAACCGTTGGGTGGCACGGTCGCAGATGACCTTTTTTGGGGGTGGGGCACCCCCGTTCAATTTCAGAATCCCTCTGGGTTGTGTCGGTGGATGTTGATATGTTCAATTGTTGTCACTGTTGACGTTTAGCCCACATTCCGGAAGACAGAACAGCAAGCGCTGTCGTACCTACAGAAGAACTGTGTCAGCAGAGTTGAAGAGATCCACAAAATTGGTGCGAGACTTCCCTACAAGAACCTACAAGAACTTCCTTAACCTTCCGAAAAATTACACCCGGGAAAATTTAACATGGAACCTGAAAATGGACCTTTGGAAGAATATTTTCCTTCACAAACCAGTGGCTTTCAGGTTCCATGTTTATCTTCCAGAGTGTATCTTCAAGAATTAAAGTTTATACCCCCTCTCACCTGTTGTGGGAGGTGAAGTGGTTTTCCTCGAGACAACAGTTTCTGACTGCTTTGTCCAATGTGCCTTGGAGTTCCACAATCCGGCCAAGATTGTTCGTTGGCAAGCCAGCCCACAAGCAAGCCAGGCTATCCCCAGAAATGCTTGCCGGAGTTCCGATCCTTTTCACAAACAATGACCAACATTCCTCCCATTCCGGGCCAAGTGCTTCTTTTGGACTCTCACTTTTCCAAACATCCGAGTCGATGAGCACATGTCCTTGCGGTCCTTGTAGGCTCAGCAAATTCTTCGAATCAGTCAGTTCATAGAGCTTTTTCGCCTGAGGTTTGGTTCCTTATCTCTGGACGATTGTGCATGCCTTGCCACCACCATCAACATCGTGTCGCAGAACTCCTCGAGGAACCAGAGTTGCTGGACTGGGACTGGGTTGGGCTGAACGTGGCGCATCCACATGAGATGTCCGCCATGCAGGGTCGTTGATTAGTTCAGCTGCTTGAGTTTTAGTTTATTACTGCTGTGAGGAAGTATACAATGTTGTACTCAACTGTTTAACACTCCTGAGTCCTTGGGGTTGGGGTTTGCCTCATTTTTGAAACGACCCTGAGCCTGAAGCAGCTGAAATCACTGCATCCTTTGTGTTCCACCAGCGCCGTGGAGCGACTCAGGTCCCTTCGAGTGTGTAGCTTGCAGCGAGGGTTTGCAGTGTCCATTCTCCTCGAGCCTTCAGAGCCTGCAGACGGGAGAGGCGACTTTAGGACCTCAATATGTTCCCCACGTCTTGGGAGGTTACTTCTCGGAGCCTTGGTGGTGGGTGGGTGGAACATTCTGTTGAATGCGTTGGATTGTTAACCGGTCCTGGGTCGAACGTCCTGTTCATGTTGGATGTTCTGCAACCGCTTCGCTTGATGTGGTAAGACCCCTGAGCGAACGTCCGAGTTTCGATGCTTGAGACAGCTGTTTTCGATGTTCGGTGATCGCTGGCCTGTGTTCGTCCATGTTGCTGAGGATCCTGAAGAGCCCTTGATGATCTACAAATGCCGCTGGCTTGATTTTGATTTTGTTTGAACTCATCCACCTTAAAAGATGATCGAAGTTGCCAAGTTGGAGGGTATATCGGCATATTATATAAGTATTTGTTCATCCGGTCGTAGTCTCCCGCAAGGTGGATGCACGGGCAAGCGAAGCCGAGGCATTCAATGACACGTGGCATGTTCAAGGACTATGTTGTAACCACTGTTCATGCAAATTTATTGACAACCTGCCTGCATTTGGTAAGCTTAACCATATGCGCAGGTCCATGATCATTGCCGAAACACAGAATAAGGGCCTCCTGTCAAGTCAATTTGAACAGAATCTGCAGATGTTTGAAGTACTGCAGCCAAGGTAGGCCAGGCAAGCATTGTCCTGGTGGAAAGCCAGGGGAATGTTCCGGAGGCCGTGTGAACAAGCCCTGCGCCTCGTGTCCTCAAGGGCAGACGTGGAATGGCAAGCAGTGCAAGGCTTGCACTGCCTGGGCCACTGTTCTTTGGGCAAGCTGACTCAACTTTAGTCATTGCAGGCTTTTTTTGCTCTAATGTTCAGTTGCATAGAATCAAGGTGGACAATAGATTGACAACTCTTAGACTCTTAGCGCACAAAAAGAATGCAAATCGACCTGGGGTCCGCTGAGGGATGGCTGCGATTCATCACCATCGCTTTTGCTCCCTGAGCAGCTGCACACCAAGGTGACCGGTTTGCTGATCTCACTAGCTGTCCTCCTGAAAGCCTACGACTTTGTCGATTCCAAAGCCCGCGCTGAACCCTCCCCCTTCCAAGTGACTCGACTTCACTCCTCAGGAGTTTCTTGAGTCAAGAACTTGGTTCCCCCTTCCAGTCACAGTTCCGACTGGTTTGGGGTGTTTGGGTCACCGGTGTATCCGCTGGACAGTCCGCTGGACACGCATTGCGGTTCTCAGAGTATGTTCTCCCTTCCCAAATGGTGGTAAATGAATGAATCCTGGAAATGGTGGTAAGGCTAGTAGTAGAAGTCACTTTTTTGGAGGTTCCCAGACAATAGTGTAGATCAGTTGAACATCCCTACAGTAGACTAGTCCCTTCATGCGTGGGATATACATGAGCATGGGGTGCAGAGTTTTAATCCACTTGCAGTGACTGTTCATCATCCAACGCATCTACGGCCACAATGGGGCCGACATATTGTCCCATCCTGATAAGATTGATCGTCAGATAATATTGTTTGATAGTCTTCCAGATGTTCCAGTTCCAGAAACTAGGGGAAGGTCGTTTCTTTCCATCCCCCCCATCCCCATCCCTTTGGTCCCTTCTTTCTTCGCTCTCGTCACCGTGGCACCGTTTGCCACACACACACACAGGTGGGGAAGATCGCCTCGAGCATTGCCATCAATGTCGTCCAGAACATCGCGGTTTTCGGGCTGATGTCCGTGGACTGGACCAACACAGTGGCCAGCACCAGCAGGAGCCTGCGCTTCATTCTGCTGGATTTGGATCAACTGAGCCTGAGTGCCCGGGGACTTTTCAGAAGCCTTTTGAACTGTTTTGGGTCGGCACACCGCAGGACCCAAACGACTTTTTCAGAGCTGGAAAGCAGAGAGTTGGGGGTGTTTGGAAGATTGAATTGATGACTTTCCTCTACTAGACCGCCATGTAATGATGTAACTGGCTAGATATGACAGTTTTGGGCTTCACCCATAGTTCCTAGAAAAAAACACAACTTTGCCACACTTCAGTCACTTCAGTTAAGAGAATCGTACAGCCGCAGACTTGGGGTGGACAAGACATTACTGTATATATACTGGTTCTTCTTCAGGTTGCTTGATTGGCCACGGGAATCTCTTCCGCTTCGTGGTTAGTGGCCTTTTGCTCCCTGGAGCCACCCTGGTGCTGATCCTCCGCTGGGCGGCCATGCGCTTCAAGTCTCCCGGAGCGTGGACTCGCGCGGGGGCGGCTCAGACCAAAACTTGACCCGTACTTCATGTAGGCTCTTGGTTCAGCAAAACTCTGTCAAGAAGTTGTTCCAAATCGAACGGGTGATGCATCAAGAGTCTACATGACGCATCCTACGGCAGATCCATTGCTCCTTGCTCAGGAGGATAGGAGGTCGGCATGTTCATCCGATCTATGTTCCATGGTCGGAGGGAAGCACATTTGCAAATACCAGAATGTCAGTGCTGTTCTCTTGCCCATTGATCATCACCTACTTTTTCACAGATTCAGGATCCTACCTAGGTCCATCTAGGTCCGGTCCAACATTTCGACCAGTCGTTTCGTTTCGGGAATGGGCAGTGTGCGAACATGTGCACTGCCCATGATGCGAAGCAAACATGGTGACGGGTTCATGAACTCCCTTCCGAGGGGCGGGGGAGTGCCGGTGAGGTCAAAACGTATCGAGTGAAAATGATACTGAAAATGAGGGGAGGCAATCCAGGAGATCGCCCCCAACATGGTTATTTGCATGGACAGTCAACTCACCAAACCCAGCCTGAGCCTGCTGGGACTCCCACCAAACCCGAACCAAAAAAGAACGAACAAATGGTCAAAAAATGCTCCAAAGCTGCGCGAAAGGATGCCTTTTAAAAGCATGTTTGTTTTTCTTTCTGGTTTTCCGGGGTGGCCCCCTGTCTTGTTAGGTCTTGGAAGGCGCCAACTTGGCTTTCCAGAAGATTCAAACAAACCCATGGCACGCCGTGAGCCATCGACGGGTCAATCTGAGGTATCCCAAATGGTGGCCTCAATGCTTGAGAGCGCCTTCCCTCGCAGCAGAGAGTTGCACCCCCTGAAAGAATCATGGGATGCCATCAGACATGGCATGGCCCACTGGATGACCATGTTCTCATTTTCCTTACAGACTTGGAGTGTGGTTGGTTGGTTGTTCTTCCATGTTCTGGTTGGTTGCTTGCTTGCTTGGTTGGTTGGTTGGTTGGTTGAGAGTGTTTGTCCACTTCCATGTTCTTGACTCGGAGTGTGCTGCCTGTTTCACAACTTCTTCTGAGTACGACATAAGCAACAAAAAAACCCGATGTCATATTGATATGTTGTAAGAAATTCAAGTCCAAGCGCACGCACATATGCCTTGCACAGCCGTACTCGCCCTGACAGACCTGTTTGAACGGAGGCAAAAGTCTGGAAGTTCTTCAAGACGGTGAATACCATCGGGACTTTGTTGCAGGTGAGACTCTGTGTTTCTGTATATATAGTGCTTTAATGACAAGATGATGACAAGATCTAAATCCCAGTGTTCCTTGGGCATCCTTGGGGCACCCAAAAGGATCTGTCACTGAAACCGTTTCATGGATGTAGATTATATTTAGAATATTTCTGTTCGTGGTCTAATCGGGCCAAGTCGGCCGACTGTCGCAGGTGGGCTTCGCAACGCTCAGCGCCCTTTCGCTTCAACCCTTGATGTGCTATCGCCATCCCAATGGATTCTTTGAACCCAAATGGAGCGTGCGTGTGACACCGAACCCGTCGGCGCGTGTGACACCGCGGGATGAACGCTGCGTGCATCGACGTCCAGCACGGAGCGTGCGCGCAGACCTGAAGCATGTTTGGACGGTGCGACGGAGACATGTCGCAGGAGAGGGTCCACGGAGTATCCTGAGCCATATTGATCCATATTGATCCAAAGAGATATCCTTTGGAGGTTTGAGATCTCTTGGAATATGGAGCTTTTAGGATCCATATTGATCCACGATCTCTTAGAGGTTTGTCCATGGCTCATGACATCTCATGACGCATAACGAAAAAACCAGAAGAAGCATGCTGTTGGTTTTGCATGTTTTTGATTAGGTTCCGGGGTTCTGGCCAAATCTAAGGATCCCTGAGCCTTTTGAAGTATCCCAGCACCTTTTGCGGGGACAGTGAGCAGATCATCATGGTGGTCTTCGGGATGGTGCTTCGGCTGGGCAAGGGCCCTTTTGAGTGGGGCCTCATCGTGGAGAGGGATTGTTTTGGAATCACTTTAGTTCAAAAGTGGAACTGGAATCTGTAGATTAAGGCCCCTTGAGTTCTTCAGAAGAGACTAAAACGACCAGATTGGTTTCTGCCATGCAATCCCAGTCACCGATGCGATGTCGGGCGCGCAGCCCAGAAGAGTGGAACCAACTTAATTCTTGCTTCTTCATTTGTAGCGTCACTGCTTTCAACATCGTTCAACCATCATTGCGGAATGTCGATCATCACTCTTTGCCCAATCAGTCGATAGACCTTTAGCATCCTTTAAGCTTAACCTGAACCTTTAGAGGAATTGGCTTCCCAAACATGAGCCAGGTGGAAAGTTTTCTCATGTATTCTGTATTCACCTGTCGTTTGCCACAAATCATTGCGGTTCCATTTTGCGGTGGTCTTGCCTGATGTCGCACCTGGGGTTGGCCATTTGCCACTCCATTTGCCCCTTTTTTCCCACAAATCTTTGCCGCTGCTTCCATCAGGCCTTGATGGCCATCTTCGTTTGCGGTTTCTTTGTCACCTGCAGCTGGGCCATCTGGAAGCTTCCAGCCTGGAGTGGACAAAGCCGACACGAGATGGCGCGGGTTGGGAAGGAATGTTCTGAAGCACTGAAAGGTGGAGCTCTTGTTGCTGCGTGGGCCAACGCCATTGGCCAGATATTGCCAGTGCTACCTATATAGGGCTACATCCTACGGGGGATGTGGGTGTAAGAGTTGCAGGAGTCATCAGGGTTCCCTGTTAGGGTGTGTTTGGTTCAAGAGGTGCCGCCGATAGCCCTTAGGCCGCCTATATAGTATGTTGTTGTTGGTATTGTGTTCATTTGTGTTCCCATCCTTTTTCGACAGGTGCAAGCCTTTACGTTCTTGAGCAGCAAGTTCCGCCTGGACGTTTGGTACTTTGGTTTGCTTTTGCTCCTTGGCACTTCGGAGAGGTCCGAGCCAGACACATTTGAGTCGTCGAAAAGGAAGGGAGGTGATAGAGGAGGACCAACTCAGTTCTTCCTGACGCTCAGGCCATCTCTGACGCGCGAAGCAAGGATGATTTCGGAAGGCGAAGCCAACGCCTAACGCCTGAAGGCTTTGGATACAACATGATACAACACCCAGGTCCTTCCCTCCCTTCCTCAGTCCATTCATCCATCCTGAACTCTTACAATTCAATACTACCTCCCGCGCTCGAAATCCACGAGTGAGACGTGGAAAGAGCCTGTTGCCCCACCACAGATGAGGAAACACAAAGATGCAACAAAAGACATGCAAGGCTCAAAAGTCTTACAATTCAATACAATTCATACATATCCCTATAGTTCCCTACTGTATGGGGATCCAGTCGTGCCTTGTCAGAAGGTGATGTGTTCGACACTGTGATGTAGGTGCCATTGTGGGGTCCAGTCGTACCGAACCTGAGGTACCGCTACGAAAACGGATCCGGGTTTTTCAACCCTGTTGGCTCTGAAGGTCCATTTTCAGGTTTTATGTGAATCTTCCCGGGTGTACTTACAATTCAAGCAGAGTATACTATACACAATATTCATCCCTATAGAATCCATAGTATACCATACATGACAGTGATAGGAAGTTGGGTCATATTTTGGAGACAGGGGTCACTCAGGTTCTAGGTACATCATCGGCCGGCCGATCCATGGCCCCCAGGCTCATGCGCGACATGGGCCTCAGCGTCATCGTGGTGGCAGCGACGGACCGGCCCGAACTGCCACTGGGCGCGGACCGGGGGACCGAGAGCTGGGAGTCCAGCCCTAGGGGTCCAGGGGAACCGAACCTCGGTGTTCGACACTTAAACATGTAGGTGTTGAGGGTCCAAGTATACAGCGCAGTTGAGAAGGTATGACTGAATCCCTAGGGCAGGGATTTCCCCCCCCATGTTCGGTCGCGTCTTGTGTCAATAGATTGAATCCAAGCAGGCATGCGGCATGACCGTACTTCTTTGGGCGGATTGGTGGTGCAAAATAGGGGTCACACGGTCACTCAAGCAGCACTCGATCCTCCTGGACATAGTCCAGGGGCGGACATAGTTCCAGATGGCTCTGGGGAGCATCGTTCTGTGTTCGAAGATGAACCATGGACGTCAGTCGCGACGTCCAATCATCTCCTGAGGCAGGTGGCTTTGGGAAGTATCACGATTTTGCTCTACCAGTCTATCCTTCTGAGGGTTTGGCCCTGGAAGGCCTCAGTCCTCAACGTGGCTGATACCGCTTGCAGCCACTTAGAGACGACTGAGACTGGAGACGGGCGGGATGACTCAGAATCTAATAGGCCTAGAAAGCCAATAGTTGGTTGGAATCATTGGCTTAGTGATTATATAATGTAATGTGTCCGTGTGATTTCGTAACATTAAATAGTGATTAGTATAGACATGGTTTGCTCAAGTTGTAGCCGTTCTCGTGGAGATTTGTGGTTTGGATTGTGTTAGCTGGCATAGCATGTGACAGGTAGGTTTGGCAGATACTCCACGAGGTGCTGGGGCAGTGTCAAACCGCTTTGTGGGTACAATTGTTTGCTCTAGGATGCCTTCACTCCAAGTCATTAAAGATGGAAGTGGAAAACCACCTGTTTGTAGAGGAACATGTTCCAATATGTTCCCATGGACCAATTCCAGGGTTCTGAATGGGCAGCCCTTACAGCTCACAATTTGAGAAGGTTTGGGTCCAACCACTGCACTTGATAGATGCCTCGCCAGTCACCAAGGCATTTGCTTGCTGCTTTTGATCAGTCAATCTCTCCATGTCTCAGCGTCGGATGAAGACTTTGCCGAAACCTTTTCGGCGGTGATCCTTGGTGCTTTCGGCGGTCATCGTGGTGGTCTCGTCGACAAAACAGGGTGGGGGTTCGACCTACTTCGTCGCCCCATTTTCGTTCAGGCGACCTTTCGAGTGAACTGGGGAGAAGTCATGGGATGTGCAGGATTGGCTTTGGTAGGCCGGGAAGTTCATATATCTTTATCCAGGACTTCTACATTGGGGATAAGTGCCCTTAGCAACTCTGATGGGAACTCCTGTTTTGAAGGTTTCCAGGGACGACCTTCCAACCTCCAGCCTGCAGCTCCCACTTCAACCCGCAAAAGTCTTCAACAAATACTTTACTTCCAGTGATCCCCGCATATCCCCACGATGACATTTCAATCTGACAATTTTTCTGGCATCTATATCATCTATTGAAACATATTGAAACATTATATTGGCATTCTTTCTGGCATATCTTCTGACATCTTTTCTGGCATATTTTCTGACATTCTTTCTAGCATATCTTCTGACATTCCTTCTGGCATTTGTTCCGGCATATCTTCTGACATTCTTTCTGGCATCTCTTCTGAAACGCTTTCTGGCATATCTTTTGGCACTCTATCTGCTGTATTTTTTGACACCCTTTCTGACACAAATTCTTTTTGGCGTTCTATCTGGCATATCTTCGGACTCGCGGCCGAAGCTCGCGGATGAGGTCCGGCCGGGACACTGCCAGCCGAAGCTATTTGTTGAGGTCCGGCGTGGAACACTGCCATCCGACACTTGCGGTTGAGGTCCGGCGGGGAACGCTTGCGGTTGAGGAGGCGGAGGAGAAGGAGGACGAGGAGGAGTAAGGCAGCTGACATAAAGTCTAACAGCCCTCACCTGACAGGTGTGGAAATACTCGATTTCCTCAATATGGAAGAAGGTCAAGCATATATCAGAAGCCAGAAGAAACCTTACAGTGTCACATTGCAGTTCTAAGTCGAGGCCGTACTTCATGCCATCAAGCCTTGCTTTCACCATCTTTCGCCTGCTCTCAACCGTTGCCTCGGTACTGGCCGGTCCCCGGTGTGTCGAGTGGGAGTTGCAAAAGGACTTAAGGTCCAGCGTTTCTGGCTTGCTTTTCTTTTTGTTGGGGGTCCAGGTTTGTCAGTGCCGATCTGCCTTTCTATTGTAATTTTACACTTTTTTGTCAACCAATTGGACCCATGACCGTTGATCGGAATGATTCTTCACGCGCACTTCTCAGTAGTATAAAAATCAGTGCGTAGATCTGATACATCAGTGTATTGATGTGGTGACAGACCGCTGGTGCTTGCCCAGGATCATGGTGATTTTGGCTACCTTCTTGGGTCTCTTGGGGATCTTGTGCACCTCAGCTTTGGTCCTCTCCCGCTCCTCCTGCCCCTCCACAGGAGAGTATGGCTGAAGTTATGAGGGGGTATCATAGTTTTAACATGTTTTAACTACATACAACCACATACATGGCCCCAACAAGACACAGGAACTTTATGGATCTATCTTGTGATTTTTCAAGCCTCAGTTTGAGAGACAAGGAAGTGACAACAACATAACGGAAATTATATAATATTATATAGCCAATTTTAAACTATAATTCGCCGCGGTGTGGTAGTTAGTCTTATTTAGGTTAGGCAAATAGCACCCAAACCCAAACAAAACATTAGTGCAGCATCGTCACGTTCACGTGGTTTCTGATTATGATGCTATGTCACATTTAAAAAGGGACCTTCCCTGAACAATCCGCAATGATTTGGAATTAAGAACTCATGGCATAGACGGTTTTCAACCTTCAGCCAAGTGGTCATTTTCATAGCAATCTCATACTAGTTCCTTTTTCGTCCCCTCCTTGCGGACACCGAATTGCAGGACTGAAGTTGCTGCATTTGGGCGACCGAATTCAGGCTGCCAGGATTTCCACCGCCCTGCTTCTGGGCGAAGAGATGTCGCCGAGATCGCGTGGAGAAGGGGCGAACGCTGAGAGAAGGGGCGCCGGGTGGTCCTGTCATGTTCTTTCTGCCCCGGGGATCCACAGGCCGAACCTCAGAAGGTACGACTGGGCCCTCCAAGCCGGCATAAATAGTGTATAGTCTTCAATCACCTTCGCGGAAGTTATGTGGATCCATAGGGCTAGAGAACCAAACTTGGACAGAAATGGGCCGGTTTTGCTTGAAGCACCCCTGTAAAGACTTCGGGCCAAAAAGCACCTCCAATTGATGATGCGTTTTTGGGAAGGCGCGCCGATGCCTGACAAAAAGTAATTAAGTATAGAGGTTTCGGCATATTTCGGTCACACAGTCCCCGACCTATGCGGTGGGCACGTTTGAAAGTGTTGCTGAGGAAAGATTGTGCAAAGGGGCTCTTGGAGATTGAAGTTTCTCATTTGGACAAGACTCTCGAAGACATGAACACCTATGATTTAGAAGCTCTTGCTGCCACTATCACTTTGGTGTCCATGGAGCCTCAGCTGAAGCGCGTTCTGTGTAGTTTGATTAGCTGCACTCACGCAGTTGGCGGACCATGAACTCGACTGAACTGTGGGTGAGCTTCACAAGCATTCAACCAACAACATGATATCATATATCTCGCATGTTTGAGTGACCGTTGGGTGGACGCAGACTAGTGGACACTGTGTGCACAAACAGCGCACTATAGACAGTGCTCTAGATCCGAAGTTCACAATCCAATCAAAAACATGATTGAATCCTTGTATGTATATATATATATATCCCTACAGTTCCAATCACCTCCACCTCCGTGGTTTCGATGGTGGTTGGTGTAGGTCAACAGGGGGGTTCAACAACCTCCGTTTCGCGCCAGGAGCCCTGGGCCTAGGGGATGGTCGGAGCTTATTCTTTGGTCCGTTGGCAAGCCTGGACCGGACGGAGGGACCTTCCACTCTTCGGACGATGGTCAACACCGGATCGGTTGGCTTCGTTCGTAACGTCACAGACCGGATTCATGTGTACGTGCTTGTTCATTCCCTCAAGGTTCATCACCTGAAGGGGAAAATGCATACTTCAATCATCAATCGGTATGTGTTGGATGTTCCATTGTTACTTGTTCTTTTCTGCATACAACTATCCGTGAAATAATCTACTTGCGTGTGCCATGCATGTGTGGAAGCTCGAATGTGGCACCGTCAGGAAGTTTTGGCGGACACGCAGTACAACTTCAACGACCGAGTGGCCCTGCAGGTCAGGGTTCATCAGTTCATATTCAGTGCCTATAGTTGCCAATCAAGTGCTCTTAGGACGGAGCCACAGAGAGCTTCTTCACCACTTGCTGGTTCTTCTCCAGACCTTAAAATCAGACCCCGGTGCTTGCAGGCAGTCAGCCGCCGCACGCGCCTGACGCGCGTGAGCCAAGTCACTGCGGCGAAACGGTCGAAGCCTGGCGTGAGGCGCATGAGAGAGCAATACAGAGATATGCCATGAGCCACACCCAAAGCTGCGTTAATTGCTTTAGCATGTGCCATTGGATCCACATACCCTGCGATTGGAGACAATTCCGTGGTAGAGGTTCTTACCTCATAGCCACTTACTTGGTCATTTGGTGAAATGAGAGAAACTTGAGGAGTAGTGTGAAATAAGATCTATAGGTTGCAATTACTGTAAGGGTTGTAGAAAGTCAATTTCAATCTATTTCAGTATTTCGGCCTATCCTTTGAGAGTCCAACTATTTTATGTCATATCACTCATTTGTTGATGTTCTAGTTTTTCACTCTCTCTCTCTCTCTAGGTTTGGAAGCACCATGAATCACGTCTTCAGCCAAGTCCAGAAAGACCGGCTGAGGATGCGATTGTCGGTCAAAGACCAGCCCATGGACCCACATCAGGAGCCCCGAAAAGAGAGGGTACACGACCAGACTGGCATGTTTGAAAAACAAAAAAGATCAAACACATTGACCCCTGAGACATCCTGAAACCATCCTGAAACCATCCTTAATGTATATATATATATAAATCTGTCAGTCTCATGGAGTGTTTGGGGTTTTGGAGGCAGGTCGACCTGGGAGACAGTTCAAGCATCAAGCCGTTTTTCACCCCATTCGTTGGCCCCCTTGTTGTTTTTTGCCGCACGTATTCCGTGTCCACTACTGACCTTGTGATATGATTTTGCATGCATATGTCGATGTATGGAAGTCTCATCATGAGTGATTGCCGGGGGGTCAGGCAGCGAGCAAAGGCTCGAACGCAACGTCCAAGCCTTTGATCAAATGATATCAAAGAATATCAAAGACTTGACCTGGGTTGGTCCAACTGTTTTTTTCGTATATCTTTAGGACCCTGCTGACTATCATGAAACGTGGACAAACAATTTGTTTGGCGGGAAGAGAGGGCTCTTCCAGGGGGTTGACATGCTCTTCCGGGGGGTTGACATGCTCTTCCAGGGGATTGACATGCTCCTCCGGCGGGTTGACATGCTCTTCCAGGGAGTTGACATGCTCTTCCGGGGGGTTTACATGCTCTTCCAGGGGGTTGTCTTCAGGATCTAGGGGAGAAATCAGATGTGCTTTGATGAAGACTTTGAGCGGACAAAACGCCAACTCTGCGAAGACGAAACACTCTTGGGGTGGTTTTGTGCGTCAATGTAGGCATATGGCATATTCTGGCATACATGGAGTGCAGTGTTTTCGTTTGTTCATCAGAGTGGTCCGGTCCCTTTGTAGAGACTCGGCAGCTCCACGAGAAATGCTCCGCTCCGCACAAACACATCACATGGTTTTGTGTGGTTCACCCCCTCTTCGTAAAGGAAAGTCGTCTTCCTTTCAGTGCCATGCCATCCACTTCCATGTGATGTGTTTGTCCAAGTGTTACTCACCAGTTCTGGGCCTCAAAACCTTCATACTCCAGACTTGGGCCTCCAACTCGCCCAACCCGCAGTCCCACTGGGCAAGACGGACAAACAGTACAAGCTACCACCCGGTAGTTCTTATGCTTTGGTCCCCTAGGGCTTCAACCACATCCTCAGAAGACAGACCCTAGACCTGGAGCCCCTACACCCGGTGTAGGAATCTTTGATCTTTGGGATCGTTGGGGGCCCTACAAATTGCTGAAATACTTGGTGATGAGACCCTCCACTGAGACCCTGCACTTGAGCCGAAGTTCGGGCCGTCGGCCCCTACTCTCTCGCCAGGAGGCTGAAGAGCACCGAGAGGAGCACCTGGAGGCGCGGCGGCTGACGCGCAGAATCCGCAGGCGTCCGAGGCATCACTGTCTTGGATGCTTCCTGTCGTGGTGCAAAAGACCACATGTACTATATCATATTATATTATTACAGCAGATGTTAAACGTGTATTATATCATAAGTATGTTTAGTATATACATATATATATATAGTATACAGTAATCTGTATATATATATATATGTATGTGTGTAAAGTATATAGGTATATACATTAAGATGAATCCGTGCATAACTGTGCAAACAACATACAGTGCATGTACTTATCATCCAGGCATCCAGGAATGGCAGGGATGTCCTCACAAGCTTCTTTGGGATCCAACTAGTCCGGTCCAACTGGGAGGCTTGACAGCGATTGACGACCACAGGTTAACGGCACTCCCGAAAACTCACTTGGACCCTGAGAATGGCACCCAGAAAGGGAAGAAACATCTTGCATTTTCTTCTACAAACAGGGGGTGAACAGAGCAGTATGCATCGTCCTGCTTGTTGGACCTTTTTCCCACCAAAGCATGGGACCAGCGCGGGAGCTGGCTGGACACGTTGTTCTTTTGGGTTCGTATCTCGATGTTTGCCCCAGGGGGGTACAGCCCCACTCTCTTTCAGGGACTACGAGTGAAACCTGTGCGACCGGTCATGAGGGAATGACCCCTCACGAATTCCTCATTCTCTAGCGTCCTTGCTCCGTTCGTAGCGATGCCCTTTGCTCCGTTCGTAGATCCAGTAGCGTCCTTGCTCCTAGTCCTAGTAGTACGGCCAGGAGCCCCTAGTAGCTTCTTGTTCCTACGTAGAGCACCAGTCTGTTCTTTTTCTTCGGCCTTGTTTCGCACACTGCTGGTGTCGAGCGGATGACGCTGGTGAGGAAGACGCTGGTCAGCGGACGGAGGCTGCGAGCAAGACTCGTGTGAGGCTTTAGGGTCCGCTAATGGTTTCGCTCCTTATGGAGCGTTCAGCGTTCCGAAGTTCCAGGTATTTTGGAAGTGCCATCAAGTGCTATCAAGTGCCCAACATTTTAGTCCGTTTTTTTCATGTTTGGTTTTGTTTGAACAGGAGTCCCTAAGATGTTTTATCAACACCCCGGTCTATGAGCCATGAGGTGAGGAAAGATTCCATGGAGACCTGAAACCAAGTGTCGCGCTTCAGCGAGATGGGAATCCACGGAAATTGGACTTATGCGGAATTGGGGGATAATTTTGGATCAAATTGGCTTCATTCACTGATTTGGTCACTGTTCATTGGCTGCTGGTGGTTATTCTTTTTAGTGTAATGATGATTAATGATGTTTCTTGTGTTCACTTTTTCGCAGTTCTTCCCTCTCGATGCCCATGCCAACAGCACAGGGACAGGTGTCCCAAATCCCGCAGCAACCATGGATCCAACCACCTCAATTAGCACTCCTTTTTGCCCTCACGAGAGCGGTGGGGTTCCGTAGCGAGAGTGTCATAATCGAATGGCTTAGGGGTGGTATATGTTCATGTATGTTCGATTCGATTCTTTAGCGTTGGGAATCAAATGGCTTGGTGATGGCTTAGTATTGAATGGCTTGGGGCCTGGCTTAGGGATGGTATGTCCACTGCCATTGTACATCACTGCGCGCTATTTGTGTTCGATTCAATTTGGGTCAGCTACTCGATCAAGTCCATACCCGACTGCACCGTGAGATCTGTACGTAATAAGGGGAGGTGAGATGCAAAGATCCATGGCCATCCTGTGATATCCTGTGCATGGGTGAATTTGTGAATGAAAAACACACACACACACACACATATATATATATATTAGCTAGAAGGAAAGATAGCGTCGACCGATAGCGTTACGTGTCGGCTACGCAGTGGTGCGGCTCCAAAGAAGGGTTTGGGGCCAGGGTGCGCGCCATGGACCATGGGGCACTTCCGCCGGCAGTGCGGATTTTGCTCCACGAAGGCTGGCAGCTCTCGACGGTGGCGTTCTTCCACCGCATGCCGGATGAAGAGATCCGGTCAATGCTGCCGGTCATGGCGCGAGCATGGACTCCAGGTGAGATGGACGGCTTGCGGCACGAGGCGAAGCGCCAGAAGCGGTTGATGGACATCGAGGACGGCGCCTTCTACCACCACCAGAAGTTGCTGTACAAGGACGCATCCATGGTGGAGAAGACCATCGGCAACCTGGCTTCAACGGTTTCGGAGGTTGGCACTTCGCTGGTGCTCGCCAGAAAGACGATGCCCAGGGTGACATGGAAGTCCCACCTGCAGAAAGCCTTGGCCAATGCACCAGACGACCAACACCGGGCCAAGGCAGAGGAGAAAGAACGTCAGCGGTGGATTGGCGAGCTCATGAAGTTGCTCGAGGAGGCTGGCTTCTTGGACAGCGTTGCGAGGGATCCTGAGGCCACGAAACAGTTGGCTTTGAGGGTGGCGGCAGGCAGGAGGGCATCGACGTTGAGACAACATGTCAAGTATGGTAGAAGGGTTCAGGTCTACATGGTGTCCATCTACGGCACCGCATGGCTCAGGTCGCCAGGTGATTTCATAGGGTACGTGGCCCTACTTCTCGAAGAACCTTGCGGTCGTAGTGTGCCAGGGTCTTTGTTCAAGTGTGTGGCATTTCTCGAAGCCGCAGCCGAGGTGTCCCCCGAGGAGCGACTGTCCAACGCGCAGTCCATTCACAACTACCTCAAGGAGATCGAGCAGGGCATGACCTGGAAGGCACGGCAGAGGAACAAGGCAGCTCGCATTCCGGTGGAGGTTGTCAGAGCTTGGGAAGTCGGGGTCCTCGACGTGACCCTCCAGTCCTTCAAGAGGGTCTTCTGCTTGTATAAGTTAATTAAACTTTGGGGGGGGCTTCGCTCGCATGACAGCCAAGGAGTCCCTCCCTCCACGATGGAGTTTGATCCCTTGGCGGGCCTCCAGGGGGAGATCTTGAGGGCCAAAACAACGGGGGTTGGCCGCCGAGTAGAAGTGGTCCAGTTCCACGTGGCCGCCGATGCTTGGCCAGTGCACAAGGACTGGTTGAAGGTGGGCCTCCAGCTGTTCATGACCATGAACAAGGACATCGCCATGGAGAAGAGGGATTTCATGATGTGAGCCCAACGAGAGCTTGAGGGGGTTCCGCAAAGGCATGCTCTCCTACCCGGAGGCGATGTGCTATTCAAGGGCTCTCCACACGGAGCTCTACTCAATTCGACTGGATGAGGACGGTCAGCCACAGAGATTGATGATCCCTGAGGCCACCTCGTATTGGTCCGAGCACTCGGAGCGGGTGACGATCATGTCATGTGCATGATTGCTGAGGTGCCTCGTGAGACGCGGAGGCGCTGGGGCCGTTGGTCACCAGGTGTGGATGAAGAGTATGCGGTGACATCCAAGCGGATGGTGATGCAGGCTCAAGCACGGGTGGCGGAGAAGATCAAGGCGCAGTACTGCATCACGGACTACACGGATGACAAGTCGGTCCTCAACAACTTTGCCCTATGGCTTCAGGCGGTGCATGGGAGGACTCCCACTCAGGCACACAAGGAGATCATGAAGATCGCTCCTCCGACTTGGGGAGGAATGGGTAACGGGCCATTTCACGTGTTGTCCAAGCCGATCAGGAAAAAGGCGGAGAGCTCAGAGGCACTCGAAGTCGTGGAGTCCCTGATGAAGGTGTTCAGTGATGACGAGTTGATGGATGACCCCGCACCTGAGGAGCGGTATAACCTGGGCACATACATCCTGTCGGTGGTGGGCAAGACGAAGAGGAGGACCTTGCATGTGATTGGCGGTTGCTATCGTGTCCCGGGCGTCCACTATATACCGGGACTATGTGGTGGTGGGGATGGAGAGGCCGGAGATCCTCCCGGATAAGGGTGAGCGCTTATGCTCCACATGCTTCACGAAGAAGGATAGCATCGCGGAGGCCCTTCAGCAGGGCGGAGACGGCGAGCACTCGTCGGGTTCTGAGTCCTCCTCAAGCGAGGACGTGTCGGACGAAGACGCCTGACCATCGAGGTCGCGTCAGAAATGTGGCTTGGTGTTTGGGGGGGGCCTGGAGGGCATCCTGGGAGTGTTTTCTCGGTCGGGTCTTTCCCCCCTTTTCTTCTCGGGTTTTCGTGTCGGTGGCTCGCTCGGTTGGTGGTCCTTTCGATGTGTGGTAATTTGTGGGCTCTCAGGAAGGGAGCCGGTGGTGGGCAGGAAGCCCTGCCCTGGAGGGGCGCGCCTCGGAGGGGCGTTGGCTGCCGCAATGGCTGGTCTGTCTCAGGAGGAGAAGATCGCGTCTTTACAGCCCGACTTCCAGGGCTTGCTGGATGCAAGAGGGGTTGATGCCACCATGCAGGCGGCATTGTTTGACGCGGGGGTTCCCTCGATCGCGATGCTCTCTGCAGTCGCGACAGATCGGGATTCGCTACTGGAGGTAGCAAGATCGGAGCTGGGAGTCGATATCGGCGCAAGGCCGAGGGATGCGATCAAATTCGCAGCGCTCTACTTGAGCTGGCAATCGGCGGTGAAACGCCGGGTGGCGATGGATGAGCTGGATGCAGACGCCACGGCCCACAAGCAGCCGAAGTCGGTCCCAAAAGTGGAGATGCAATTGTATAGGGCCGAATTTGAGAAGAGGTTTTTCAGGTTGAAGGACGCGGAGTGCCCTGGCAAGCCCAGCTTCGAGGATGTTTGTGAACAGCTTGACAACGGGGAGTTCAGGCCCATGGCCTTGAGGCACTTCGGGTCCAGGATGGAGGAGGATGACGCGGAGACGGGCAGCTTGCACCTTGGGAAGGCAGGTCAGGTTAAGATTAAGAAGGCCAGGGTTGAGACGGCCAATCCAGCCAACATGGAGGAGTTCCGGGCGAAGGTGAACTTGATGATCAACCACTTGATCTTTGCACGGTTCAGGTACCCTCATAAAGCGTCACTGGACGAACTAACGCCGTTCACGGCCATTGAGTACTTGAACTACATTTGCAGCAAGAACGTGGCGCAACTTGAGTCTTTGGTGGTGGATGACGTGGCATTGCATCGTCCCTCGCTCAAGTTGATCATGAGCTATGAGGTCCAAATGCGTAAGGAGGCGGTGGAACAGGTCAACAAAGGTGACACTTGGGTGGTTGCCCTCAAATCGGTGGTCAAGAATGCGGACATAAGGGAGCGCTACTTCAGCACTCCCCTGCCGGTGACCTCAGCTATGCAGTCGATTAAGGAAGATTCTTGGAACAGGCAACGCAAATGGCAAGAGCGCCAGCACCCCTACGCGGAGCAGCAGAAGGGCAAGATCAAGAGCAAAACCAAAGGCAAGAAGGGGGCGAAGGGCAAGTCGAAGGGCAAGGGATCGCAGCAGCTCTACGCCTCTACGCCGGACGGGCGACAGCTTTGCTTTGCTTGGAACAACAAGGCGGAGGGCTGTGCAGGCTCCTGTGGTCGTGTCCATGCTTGCCGCGTTTGCCTTGATCCTGGGCACCCGATGCACGAGCATGTCAACGACAACAAGGACTCGTGACTAGGGCTGAGCCAGGCGGACAGACAAGTGAACCCATGCATGAACCCACTGAATTCAAAGTCCTTTATTCGTTCGCAGGGCCTAGCAGGCCGAGTGGCATTCCCGAAACTTTGGAGAAGCTCGCCAACTCTGCCGACCGCCCAGTGAAGGTGACTGTCGACGCCTTCGACGTGTTGAGGGATGCCAAGCATGACCTCTTGGACGAAGGCCTGCAGAAGCTTTTGTTAGATCGTATAGCCAAAGGCTACTATGATGCAGTTTTGATGAGCCCGCCTTGCGGGACATGGTCCAGGGCCCCTTGGGCAAACAACCACGGACCACGACCCCTTCACCCATTTGGTTTCCCCTGGTTGGAATCTTGGAGGCGGACAAAGGTGGATCGAAGTAACTCTATGATTGAACTTTGCTTGCAATGCATCACCTTGTGTTTGAAACACGGCCTCCTCTTCCTCATCGAACACCCTGAAGACTTGGGAGCTACCTCACGATACGGCCCGAACGCTCGGCCGGCCAGCATCTGGCAATTGCTCC